GTATTTAAGACTGTTTTTAAAATACAATTGACATATTTACACTTTAATAAATCCTAAGTTTTAAAAAAAAACGGATATGGAAAGCTTTTTTCATCATTTTAATTTGGATTTCAAAAGAAATGAAGGAGAAAACACATTTGCCAACAATTTACTATTTACTGAGAAATGTGGACATGATTTTGTTTACAATTAAAACAAATCATGGTTCGTTTGTAGACAGCGTTCTTTAGACAGCGTTTGTAGACAACGTTTTTAGACACCGTTTGTAGACAGCCCTCATAGACAGCGCTTGTAGACAGCGTTTGTAGACAGCGCTTGTACACACTGCTACACACAAAGGAGACCAAATAGCCAATCAAATTCCACTTTTCAGAGGTAACTTGAAGGAAATGGTAGAAGAACTTTCAAGGCAATTTCAGCTATTTCTGGATATTCTGCTTTGACCTGAAGGCAAAGCATAGTAGTGATGACATGGTGGTAATGGCATAGTAGTGATGGTGAGGTGGTGAAAACCATCTCATTCCTTCCTCAGCAGCAAATCGATCAACTTATTTTGCGAAGTGACATTGAAATAAGCCTTTGATGCAAAAATGGATATATTATCCATACTATCCGTGGATCGTCTTTCCTGCAAAGTAAATTTTGAAAAGGTCAATTAAGTTCGTTAAGAGTACAGCTGCACCAAGCACTGCCTCTGCATTAAGCACTTCCTCTGTATCAAGCACTGCCTCTGTATCAAGCACTGCCTCTGCACCAAGCACTTCCTCTGCACCAAGCACTTCCTCGCACCAAGCACTTCCTCTGCACCAAGCACTTCCTCTGCACCAAACACTTCCTCTGCACCAAGCACTGCCTCTGTATCAAGCACTGCCTCTGCACCAAGCACTTCCTCTGTATCAAGCACTTCCTCTGTATCAAGCACTTCCTCTGCAACAAGCACTTCCTCTGCACCAAGCACTTCCTCAGCACCAAGCACTTCCTCTGCACCAAGCACTTCCTCTGCACCAAGCACTTCCTCTGCACCAAGCACTTCCTCTGCACCATGCACTTCCTCTGCACCAGGCACTTCCTCTACACCACGCTCACTGCACCAAGCACTTCCTCTGCACCAAGCACTTCCTCTGCATCAAGCACTTCCTCTGCAACAAGCACTTCCTCTGCACCAAGCACTTCCTCTGCACCAAGCACTTCCTCTGCACCAAGCACTTCCTCTGCACCAAGCACTTCCTCTGCAACAAGCACTTCCTCTGTATCAAGCACTTCCTCTGCACCAAGCACTTCCTCTGCACCAAGCACTTCCTCTGCACCAAGCACTTCCTCTGCATCAATGTTGTTGCTGCTGCTAGGTTTGGAAACATAAAAACAAGTTTCTCACACCCCACTCTTATATGGCTCTGGTTTTTTGTTTATGACCATCGATTTTGTCAGCCATTGTGAAGCGCGAAGCCAACAGTGTATTTGCATTGATGTTTGGATCTCTTTTAAGATGGCAAAGGTATCTACCAAACAGTGGCGAAAGTAATGGGTGTGGAGGGTGTGCTCCGCCATGGTCGGCACTTTTTATTCATATGGAGGGGCGGAATTTTGGTCCAACTAAACAGATGGGTTTTTTTTTTCTCGTGGACAGGAAAAAGCAAAATCATCGGCTCGCTCCAGATGGCACTGAACCTAGTTACGTCACCACTGCCAAGTAAGCCAACTTGGCAATCCAATCCTCATTTACAAACAGTTCTGACGAATAGGTTCAGTATTTGGGAAATCTCCCTTTGAAATTTAAAAACTTTGGATAAAAGGTACCCTTTCGACAACCAACTTACTTCGGCATGTAGCAGAAGTTGTTTGTATTCAGCCTCAATGTTATCCACTTAAAGCAGCAAATAGTCTTGAATTTAAAAAGCTTGCCTTGAAATAGTTCGTAATTTTTTTACAATTTCGCTGAACACATTTTTTTTTCATTTCTGTGGACATTCCAGGCTCCAGGGTGTCCCCTTGAGGTTGCAAGTGTGTCACGTGATACAAACTTGCACAATTTATTGGACATCAAATAATCCGAACAGTGTGGCACACTAGTGACTTCCCCTTCGGTCATTTGAATTCATTCACCTTTTCCAACTGTGTGCGATCTGGCAAAACTTTTTTTTCTCTATAGAACATTACTTGAAGTTGCCAGTTTAGGCATGTTCTTTGAGCGCCAAAAAACTATTATTAATTCTGTTTGGCCTTCTTTTGTGTGGTCTTTGAATTGACACGTTTCATATTTCTTAAACTTTTAATCTGGCGCCCAGCGTCAGCTTACCAGACTCCATTTGATGCGCACAACGCAGGCTATTTTTATGCTAAAGGCAATCTCGATTTTTAAAGTTTGTTTTGAAACGAGACTCAAACATGCATTTTCCACCACCTCACCCCCCCCCCCCCCCCCCCCCAAAAAAAAAAATCCCAGTTTCTCAAATAATTTTATGTGGACCGGCAACGAAAGGCTCGGGGACAGGCGCCTGACCCTGAACCGGCGCCCGACCGGGGAACACCATTTGTGTAACACTGCTGTAGATGATAATAACGCAATAAGATGAATATAACACGAGAGTTTATCAAAATATGAGAGAGCGCTTCTAACTTTAATAATAGCCAAGGGTTATGTTAAGAATTGTCATCTTAGTTTGTCTATTCCAAAAAAGATCACGTGTTTTGTTGTTGTTGTTTTTTTTTTAATAAGTGAAGGGAGATAAGTGAAGAGTTGCGTTATTTATATGTTGTTTTTCCATCATTGTATCCCCCTTGTGTTTGATGTTTTGCATTGTGCTTTCATCTGCATACTGCATAGAAATAAAAGTCATAATTTAGAAGAACGTCTTTGAAAGTGATATCACGCTGGGCCTGTATCCAACACATGGAGGTCGCATTATCTACAATTAAATTAAAAACTCTATAAACACATAATAACCTATCAAAACTAAATTAAAAAATGCAAATTATAGTTTTCAAAACCTGCCTGTTCTCTGATGGTCTGTGAATGTACGTTAATAAGCTCTCTCAGGCCTCAGTTACTCTGTCATTTACCATCCAACTTCGTCTAACTGGTAGAGTGTGTTTCTAGGAAAATGAACTTCAAGATGACGACATTGTTTTACTGACCAGAGAAAAAGCGCGGGAAAGTCTGCGTCAGGTGATCTGTCCTCGTGCATGAGAAGCTCTTCTAATTTGGTTTATGGTTTTTACATTTAAAGACGTTTAAACTCATTTTTATACTAATCACACGTACTATTCGCTCCCTTTGGCTCCGTTACATTAACTTGATATAAAAGAACTTTGTTAAAGTTTTGTTTCTTAGCGTTAATGACACAGATGACATAAGTGCCACACTTAGTATGTAATTTATGCAGACTTGACATTTGGAGGCCACTGCCACTTTGTATTCAAATTACTTTGTTTAAAGTTTAATGTTTTTTCCACATCATAACTTTGAGCCCCTCAAATATATGAGGCCCCCTGTAGCCACAAGGGCTGCTGGGCCACTCCACGACTTTGGGTTTATACGTTGCTAGTTGGACTGTCCAATTGGGACAGAGGTCATTCCCCAATTTAATTAAGATTTTTTTTTTTTTTAAATGTCAGAGTAAAGTTCTGTCATAATGACGCCATTTTTGTCAAAAGTTCTTACCTTCCCTTGCTTTAATTTCATGGTTATCTAATTGGCTATTGTCTAAATTTTCTTGGTGGTTTCTAATTTCTTCACCGCCTGTTGAGCGGGCTTATACCTTTTAATGCTGAGTTTTATTGGGTATTTTTTAAGGTTGTGGTTTTTATTCAAAATTTTGTCTAAATCATAGCCACATAATTCAATTTATTTAAAATTCAAAATTTTTTATTAATTTCTTTTTAAATTCCTTTCTAAAATAAATTAGTTCTTTTTTTTTTTGTTGGTGTTTTTTTTTTTTTTTTGTAAATTTTATAATTCACACTTAAGCTAGTGTTAGCTTTGCTTTTTTTTTTTTTTAAGAAAAATGAAAGATTTTTTAAAAAATCATCCTGAATGTTATTTTTTTTTTTTTTTTTTTTTTTTTTTTTTTTTATTATTTTTTTTTTTTTTTTTTTTTTTTTTTTTTTTTTTTTTTTTTGTAAATTGTATAATGCACACTTAAGCTAGTGTTAGCATTGCATTTATTTTTATTTAAGGAACATGGAAGATTTTTTAAAAAATCATCCTGAATGTTTGATCGCTTTTGACTCATGCATTTAGTAAAGCCCTTCGTTTTGATTGTCTAATGTTTGTAAAAAAAAAAAAAACATTTTAAAAATACACATACCACCTCAAACTGGTAATATGAATGGATTAACAACATCTTTGTTTTATTATTATTAAGATAAATATTATTCTTCCCATTTACTAATCATGTGGTCAAACTAGTTTCTAGTTGAGTCCTTACAGTTTACAAAATAGTTTTGAAACTGCTGAATCCACTTTATTTCCTCCGCGGCCCCCGGGGACGGGGCGCACACAAATAAATGTTTTGGTGTGTCAAGTTATTTTTCGTTTTCATACAATTATAAAATGAAGTGTTCCGATGGTGACAAATTTCCTGACATTTAAAATAGGCTGTAATCAACACAATCATTCTTAGATCATTTGTATATACAAGCCTCCATAGACAATGTCGTGCCCTACTTAATTATTATTACATCAGAAGTTTCATATACTACTAGCATTTAAAAACTAGCCTAATAATTATATGTTATTATTCTGTATTCTTTTTTTTTTTTACAAGTTTTAATTAAAACCAGCAATTTTATATAGCTAACATCAAACTGATATGAAAAAACCACTACGGTATCTTTCAATAGATCTCATTTAATTCCATGTGAAAAAAAAACAACATTAATTAAGTAAACAATTCCACTCAATGTTGACACTCCCCACCCCCAAACACACACTCAAAAAACAACAACAAAAAAAAACAACAACAACAAAAAAACACCTCCCTTGAACTTAACCATTTTTGTTTAAGGTACAGCATGAAGACAAAGCAAATATGTTCATGGATGATGGTGTGAGACGTGTGGATTATGTCCTTGTCTATGTTGTGGATACAGATGAGGCAGATGAAAGACAGAAGGAAATGTGGAGGAAAAATTTCCAAGGATATCTCGAGAAAGAAGGCCTTCAACTTGAGATTTCAGCAAAAGAGGTGGGACTTTTGCCTAGAAGTATTAAGCACAGGGTGTTTTAGAAAATATAATTTAATACATTTGGTGCGTTTAAGAACAAGTTTCCTCTTCATTTTCATGACTTTTCATGATATTCTAAATAATAAATTTCTTAACATATCAAAGTTAATCTGCTTTTGATAGCTGTGGTAATGCAGCCATTACATCTTCCATGGGCGCAGGAATCATTTAATTAAAGTTTTTAGTTGGTTCTATTGTGTTCTAAGATAGTTTTAAGAAAGGAAAGATAATTCTTTTAAATTTGCAAAAGATGCTAAAGCAAAGCATTAAAAACAATACAAAAATATTTTCTTTCTAAAAAAAAGTTAAATAAAAGTAATATGGAAATTGGCCTGAAAGTTCATGATTTATATCAACTATATTATAAATAAGGATCTGGGGTGATAAGCTGTGACTCATTAATGAAACAGTAAACAAGGAATATAAAGTCTAATGATCTTTTCGGATTACATAATATTTCTGAGCATAATCCACACTTGAAATATTCTTAAAATTATTCCATTTATTATTTTTACTATGAAAGACTTCTCCGTACATAATAGTTTGGTATCTTTATTAAAATTTAATCATACATTATGAAGTCCATGTTTATGTTATTTAACAAGCCATTAATTCATTAATTTCTTGGTCTTTAAAAATAAAAATATATTTTCTTCTTATTTCAAAACATCTCAGCTTGTAAAATTTAATTCTTAAAAAGCTTGGGACAAAATCATTTTAATGATCAAGTTATTTACATCTGAAATTTTGAAAATGATAAATGTATGATTTGTGTGTGGCCATTGTCATTTTTTTCAATAGAAGAGACTATTTAAAAGTTTAACAATCCATCTATAAACAAGATACCTCAGTTAAATGGTTTCCCATTCGTTACATAGTTATCTCCCATTTCATCCTGTCATACTGGGTACCCATTGGTTAAATATTTAGCTCCCATTTCATTATGTTATACTGGTTTCACATTGTTTACATAGCTGGTTCCCATTTCATCATGTCATACTGCTTTCCATTGGTTACATTTTTACAATTTGTTCCTACGGCATCAAAATAACTTGGTGAAGGGATAGGTGATCAGTTATTGTAGGCCAAACAATAGAAGAAACTATTGTAGGTGAGTTGGTTTGTCTTACTCTGAATATTAGATACAGAGGGGATCACTGTCTCCAGCATGTGCTGTGTTCACTAGACACCCAGTTATTTTACTTAAGTTTGGTTTTGTTCAGTTATCTGTATATTATTATTATTATTATTTTAAACATGGTTATTAATTGGGCATTTTTCAGGCATGAAGCTTTCAAACATATGGCAGCCTTCGGATATGAAACTTTCAATATTTATAATGTTAAAATGTACATGATAACTTTGCTAATCTGCTGGCCCACTTAATTCTTTAGTTTCTTATTTTTTAAAGTTTGTTGCACCTGATTGTATTCAGATAGCAAATGGTGTTAGCTTCTCACTGAGATATCCAATAACCTCGTTTATTAGAGGTAGTAGAGATTTTATAAAAAATATAAAAGGAGACACTTTCCTGGGAAGTTTTTCACTTAAAAATATATATCTTGAAATGTATGTTGTGTATTTAAATCTTAGTTGGGTTGCATGTTGTAAGAAGTGTAGCTGTTTCCCTTTACCTGTTTTGTGATTTTGTTGGGTTTTTTTGTTGTTTTTTTAATGGTTCCCCATGTTTTAGTGATGGCTTTTTTATTTAAGCTGCACTGTATTTTATCTGAGATATGTATATATATATTTATCAGACTTGTAGTAAATGGTCTACTTTTGTTGCTTCTTAACAAAATATTTTCAATTATGTCAATAGCTGTATTTACAGTCTACAATTAATGTACAATTAAGCTTGTTTAAAGCTGTGGATTTATTGAATTTAAGGGTTTTTTTTATATAACAAATCTTACCCAACTAATCATCTGTTTAACCAAAGCTGGATTTCCTTCAATTTATTTCAGAATTAGATTTTTTTTTACAAATCAACTTATAAATTATCTTTTTAAAAGCAACAAAATACATACCTTTTATTGTTTTAAAAATTTATTTTGATTTATGTATGTTTTGTTTAATTTAATAATCACATCAAAAGATATTTTAATAGAACTTTACAAGAGCTGAATATTTTTTTATATATGTTCATGTTTTCTTTTAAAAACTAATGTCAATATATGTTTCCATTGTGAATTATTTTTTAACCTTTCAAAAATGGAATGTTTAGAAATTAAAGTATTTTTTCTGCTAACATTTATTTTATCCTTTAATATTTCTTCACTGAAACATTGTCATTTTTAATTATTTTTTTTTAGCTTTCATGTAAATGAGCAAAAAAGAGTTAATGCATTTAAAATATATAAAAGTAATGAGAGGAGGAGGTGCTTTTTATTTTTCACTTCAATTTGTTTTTCATCAGACATTTCACATAAAATATTTTTTTTTAATAATTAACAATTATTTTTGTGTCTTTTTCCACAGAGTAGCAACATATTAGATAAAATTAAAGTTAGAAATATTTTTGCCAAATGTTGTGCTAAACCACAGAGAAAGCAGGATAAAAAGACCTATTATGTCAAAGTTCATGCACCCTGGGATGTGCTGGCCAAATATGCTGAGATAACAAATATGAAAATGCCTATAGCAGTGAGTTATTGCTGTTTTTTAACTGTTTAGTACATGGGTTAAAATTAAACCAATGTATTAAAAAGAGTAAATCTCAAAACATGAATTTACATAGTTTTTGTTTCTAGGAAATTAGACATAGAAAACATTTGTCAACTTACTATACAAATGAGACTGGCATTGGCTATATATAATTTAGATTATGTTTATTAGTTTCAGCAATAGTAACATGTGTGCCTAAGACTAAGAATGTTTGCCTCTCACCTAGGCTAGTCATAAGTCTAGTTATAGACATTGCAGTATGTTTCAGCTTATAGATTCTATGCATATTTCAAATATTCATACTTGTTCAGAGTGAAGACATTAATTTAATTGTTACAACATCTTTCAGGATAATGATATGGTTGCTAAATTTGAAACATGCTGGTCCAAGTGTCCAACACCATTTGACCACAAAGGAGTACTCCCTGAAATACCGGATTACTTTACAGCTCCCTTTTCAAGAGCCAGGATAGATAAGTAGGTTAAATTATATTTAAATGTGTTGTTCTGCACATCATATAAAATTGCAGACAGAAACATTTTATATGTGAACCAATTTTTATTAGGATTGTTCTTAATATTCCCTGCATATTACTGAATAGATATGTTAAATAAACTTGTTTTAGGCTGTACTGAATAGTCTTTTTGCTGTTTTCATGAAACAGAAAAATGCATTTTTATGAGAAAACATAAATCTTGCCAAATAGCATTTAAAAACTATTTAAATTTCTGTAAAGCATTGTTTGCAGCCATGAATTTAAAAAAAAAACATTTGTAGCTTTAGGACTTCTAATATAGACCATTAGGAGTTTATTGTGAATTTTAAAAAGACAGAGTAGATTTTGTGAACAAAAAATATTATTTCATAGCATTCACTCAGTATTCATAGTGGGATGTGAAAAGTTAGAGGGGAATATTATGTTTATTTTGCAGAATTCTCCTTTAAATTAAATGTACAGCTATAATCAAAATTCAAATATTTAGGCCTACTGGTTTATACATTCTACACAAATTAGGTCTACATTAAGCTTGAACTGCTACAAGTAAATGATTCAAGTGTAAAATTAATCTTTTTTTATTTTTTTAAATTCCTGAAAATCTCTAAGTGATCTTGAAATATCAAGTCTAAAATAATCTTGGGCAATGCAAATTTGATAGAATAAGTTATTTAGAATCAGTTATTTATTTATTTCATTATTAGATCACAGCCAAAAGCTCTCAACCCATACTATTAACTTGTCTACTAATAATTGAGTAAAAGCTGCTTAACAATGAAATTTCAACAATTTTTTTTTCATTTCTTATGCACTTTGAAAAATCATATTTTTTCATTTCATTTTTAATATTCATGAGAAAAGAATATTCACAACTCATTCATAATATATTCAAAATGTTATTAGATACTTTTTCTTTTTCTTCACAAAATACTTATCATTTGCACCTTTGTAATGTTTTAAAAAAAATTGTTTTTATTTAAATTATAATTCCTCTTTTCATATTAATTTGCACCACTATACTTCCAGAAGAGAGTAAGACTAGAATCATTATGTCATGGCAATACATTGTAGTTGTACTGCTGGACTGAATTGCTATGTTCTTTCTTTTGTATAAATCTTCTCTATCCTTGTTTTCTCCTTTTTTTTATTATTTGTTATACTTTAAATATTATTCCTAATATCTTGTGATTTTACTTTTCCATATATAACATCAAATAACTTTAAAAACCTCATTATGTTCTAAAAGTAGTTAAATTCAATTCTATTTCTAAAAGATAATAATTTACTTTCAATATATATAGAGTAAAGGGCCTATATGAGTGTAAAATTTATAGTAAAGAAATAAGAAATATTTTTTTATAGTTTTGGAATATGTAGCAATGGATTTTTTTTTCCTATTATGACTATTAGTCTGTTATTTTAGCAGGATGATGTATTGGGCAAAGTTAATTAACAATTCCTTTAAATGCCCAGCTTCCCTTAATACCAGGATGGAATGATTCACTTTCATTGACTCCTTTTCATCACTGGGCCATTTCAACACCAGCCGTTTCCTTGATAAAGATATAAGATTGGAACACAAAAGTGATAATATAAATTTAAAGGTGCTTAAAACAAGTAGAATATTCAAGAACATATATATATTTAGCTTAAATAGATTTAACGAGTCTCTCATATACTAGAGGTGCTACATAAAACCTGTATGTCCTTGTGTAATTAAGTGTCATCTGTTTACATCAATGGTTGTACAAAATATACCCAATGTATATGGGTTTTATTTGGCCCAGCCTGTATATTCGAGAGTTGGATGACACAAGTGAGGTCAGTTCAGCATACAATTTGCTTGTGGATTAAGAAGATAAACAGTCAGGGGATCTGTGCTCGGGTCATTTATTTGCAAAACACCTCCATAATATTGTTGCTCATAAAATCTTTGCTATAATTTAAAAAAGACAAATATAACTGTAACCTTAAAATTTAAGCCAAAAACCACTCCAATCAAAGTAGGGACTTTTGCCTTTAGTACTTTTGTTGGGAGGGAAGGATTTTGTTGAGCATCCTGGATGCGTTTTAAAGTGTTAAAAATATCAATTTTTAAAATAACACATTAAGTCCACTTCAATATCTCCACAAAAGTGATTATATGGAAAAAAACAACAAAAACACACAATCACTTACATTTACATGGATAGATTTTCTCAAAATTTTTCAACTTTTAAAATCATCGGTGCACTTAAAAAAATCACCTTTTCTATAAATAACTTTTTTATAAATGTTGGCGAAATGGCTGTGCACAAAATTGCCAACTGCAAAATTGCCCTTTTATGAAATGGCCTGGGGGTGAAACAACTGATGGCAAATCATCATAGATCCCCTTAAAACTACTTTTTTATAGTACAATTTAATATTTTAAACTTTATATATTAAGGATCTTTAAACTAATAAAAATGTTACAACTATAAAGTTTTGTATATTTGACTTTTTCCATGATTCAAATGCCAATATTTTTTTTTAAATTTTCTGATGAATATTTGTTTATATATTGTAATCCTTTTATTTTTTTCCCATTTTCTCTTGGCTTCTCTCTATTATGTAATTTTTTTTAAAAATGGTTAAGCTTTTGAGTTAAAGCAATATAAAATAACAATCTCCTTTAGAGCTATAAAAAAAGCTAAAAGAAAAGTCTTAGTCTATGAGGTTCCCAAAAGTAACATCTACTAAATGGGCCCAATACTAATAGCCGTGAACTACCTAATTTATATAAGGAGAAGTAAAAAAGCTTGCAATAATTCATCTTTTGATAAAAATGCAACCTTAAATTAGGTTTGGCTTCATAATTCAAAATGACTCTTGAGATGCGGCAAATTCACTTGCACCTTAAATGGCTATGCTACTTGTAACCTTCTAGTATTGGTAGGAAATCTATCACCCACCCCTTTTACCTTTCTAGCTTGTCTGTAGGTGGTATTATAATTAACTAAATGGAAGTAAATGTCAAATCTTAAAGTATTTTTATTAACCACCCACCCCGCTTTTCATGTTGATTAACTTACTTAAACTGCAGGGTAAATTAGTTCTATAGCTATTTATTTGTAAATTGTATTCTCTCCCTTATTGTTTGGACCTTACATCCAGATATTGTACCGGTACAAAAATTTTAAATCTTGCTTATTCATCTTTGCAGCTATCTCATATCTCTTTGCTTAAATGCAACTGGTGAAATTACAAGATTTGTTCTTTTATTAAATGTAAATTATAATTAATTAATTCTTGGATAAACATGGATGTTTAAAGCTTTAAAATCCTAATGACAGACCTTTGTGGCAAAGACCAGATGCATGTAATTCGAATGATTTAAATGCTATAGCCTAGATGAGCTAAGAAGACATATCCAGATAAATTTGTAGATTTGAAACATGCCAGTAAGATAGGGCCTTGTAAAATATTTAATTATACTGAAAAAGAGTTAAAAAAAATCTTATTTTTCTGCAAATCTCAACTTCTCAACAGAGATTTAACTTCTCTTGTCATTCTCAAGATGCTAGTTGTTTCCAATAATATTATATATATAGCCTTGCATTTAAAGAAAAACATAATAAAGAATCAATATCTCCTGTACTTGTCGTTTTATAAAAATCTGATAAAATTGACATTTTATATATATTGAAGAAATAGAAAGAAGTCCTTAGTAATTAAAAAAATTATGGCAAAGCAAAAATGAAATGTGCTGGATGAAATTATTGGATTTATTACATTTGTAAAATAATTTTAAAAGCTTTATTGGTATAAGACGCAATTAAGATAAATAATTATTTTAAAAATTTTTAAGAGATCCATCCATGGGATACATTAAAATAATCTTTATCCCAATGTTGATTATTTGTCTAATAACTTCCAATTTTAGATTTATCATTGGGGACAAGGACAAATTTTTCTCACCTGCCCAGAGAAGCCTGCTGACCTACCAAATCTTGTCTAGGGCAATTTTGGAAGATGTGGGTGATCCAGCTAAGAATAAGTTTGGTAATTTTGACTTTAATACATTCACAGAGCCTAGAGCATTAAGTAACTTTAATTTTAAAGAAACATAAATTTGTTCTGCCATTTTAGACAAGACATTTTATAAAACATAAATATAAATATAGTATAAATGTGTTTTCAAAAGCTATCCACCAATAATAAATTTGAAACAAATGTAGTTTGTTAAAAAACAAACATTTTACTTGATTTAGGCCTATATTATCCATAGGCTGTAATTAATAAAAGGTTTTTTGATATCTGTTTATTTAGTGCTGTGATTTTAGCCATGGTGGTCCTATGAATTGACCTTTTTGTTTCGGTTAAATATCACACTCTAAATAACTTGAATTTTACAAAATTAAAAACAGTTCGATCAATCTGCTTGGTAAACCTATGTATACACTTTGATAATTTTTGTTGAAATATTTTTCTAGGTATCAAAAATATGCTAAATAATGGTGCTTATGATGCTGCCTTCCCACTCCATGAGGTAAAATTATTTTTCCATAATTAAAAAAAAAAATTAAAGAAAAGTTAATATTGTAAGGAACCTTGCTTACACTCCGACTAACTTCATCTCTGGTACTCAATAAGTAAACAACTCCGGTGATACATTTGATGAGTAAACTCGTGTTCTTTATTGGCTCTGTCACTTGCTTACACTTTCATTCATCTCACAGCTCTGACTGCCCTCCTCCTCCTCCGTCCTGTTCTCCCCCTCTCTCTGCTCTCTGTCCTTTTCTCCGTCACCAATCTAACCGTCCCCTCTTATAGGTCCACCAGCCAACCAAGGCGTCGCTAGAGATTACTCCCCCTACCTTCTTAAGTCTTGATTCATCCGCTACGCGCCAAACACCTGGACTGAACTCTGCCGTGGGTTTTGCCCCTCATCCCTGCCCGCTGCATTCCTCGCCTTTTACCCCGCTCCGCTGACCTCCATTGTGTTCCACGTCTTAATTTATGTGCTACCCGCCAAACACCTGGACTGAACTCTGCCGTGGGTTTTTCCCCTCACCCCGTCCACCTGGACTGAGGCTGAACTCTCTACAATATTGTGTCTTCTGTAATCGTTATTTTAGAATGAGATGTTTGAATACTTAAAAAATGTATGATCATTATTAGGCTTGTAAGAAATTTCATTTATTTGGAATCAACTAAGACTAAATTCATATAACTTTAAAACCCATCACTTAAAACTCCTGAAAATAATGTCTTTATGCCAAAAATACAAACAGCTGTAACATAGTTTTCCATGTTTCTCTTTAAAAGCAATGTTTACTTTATTTCTTATAATATTTTAAATGTTTCAGGGTGAGTACACCAGTCAACATTCCCTACTGACAAGAGGGGCGGAGAATCAAAGACATGTACGATTTTTACCTGAATTTTGTTAAATTTAACATATTTTTAAAATTTGTATTATTGTACTACCTAATCAAAACATTTACCTGTTCTTGATTCCACCAAAAATACATTTGATTCTCTCCCCAAAGCCATCTGATAAATATCAATTAGAAGTCAATAAAATTTTATTTAAATGGATTGCAATCAAGTGTCCTTATATAAATAATACCAACATTCTACAATAAAAGAGCCTGAACAGTAAAGTTAAATACAGTCATGATAAGTTTTAAAATAACTTGATACAAAAAAATGTTTTTGTTAATACTGTCACTGTTATATTCACAGTTGTTATATGAAACATGGGCCAAGCCAGGTGCATGGTACAAGTTTCAACCTCTAGACCACATCAGGTGAGGATCTGGAAAGTTCTTGTATTTTTTAAATTTTATCATGTCATGATTAGAAATAGATATTACTGAAATCTTGATATAAATAAGTAGATTATGTACCGTTCAATAACATCCAGTGAAGGATCTAAAAGGCTATTAACTTCTAGATGGGCTAATCAATTGCTCTTTCAAAACCATCACTCATTTGTTTATTGCCAACATCCTACTGTATTGCCAACAACCTATTAAATTGCAAACGTCCTATTGTATTGCCAACATCCTATTGTATTGCCAACAACCTATTGTCCGTAGAAGGAAACTGTATGAATCATTGTTTTTCATTTTGTAAATATCTGTAACATAATGACAGAGAGTGTGGGTGTGGTGGGTTTTTTTTAATGAATTTTTTATGGTTCAGTAATTTTAAATGATTGTATCATGAGTTTTTAAATTTCTGTTCCAATAATTTATCCTCATGTATCAGACTGTATTTTGGAGAAAAAATCAGCATATACTTTACATGGCTTGGATACTACACTGGTTTACTTATCCCTGCTGGTCTTGTTGGTCTGGCTATCTTTATCTATGGTTGTGCAAGGATGCCCTTCAATGAAGCCAGGTCAGAACACCCATATATTTTGTCTTTCATTAACAAATGCTGTGCTGTATGATGTTTTTAAAAATTTGATTCATTTTAATAGACTGGTAGCTCATATTCAGTACTCTGTGTTATGAGAATCTGTATTGATGCTGGTACCAAACAGAATTTAATCCAGTATGTTAGTTTATAATTTAGCCATCTTATAATAATTTAAACTGTCGGCTTTATTGATTTTTTTGAGTATGCGCTTCTCTCTCTTTTATGTTTTTATTAATGTGTTTACAAAATTTTTTTGATGCTGAAATGTTTACAGCAATGACATTTGCTCTGACTCTGGTCCTGGCAACTTTACAATGTGTCCCCTTTGTGATGGCCGGTGTGAGTACTGGCGGCTCAAGACATCTTGTATATATTCAAGAGTTACCTATCTTTTTGACAATGAGGCTACAGTGGCTTTTGCTGCCTTCATGGCTCTTTGGTGTAAGTTAATGATTTTAAAGTTGTTTTCTCTTTTAAATAAGATGAATTTATTCAAGAGTTGTTTTTTGAGGAAAAAGAAATTAAGTATAAATCTTAATTTTCCATATTTTAGTTTAATAATAAATAAAATTAATATTTAACATCTGCCTATTACTTTTTCTTTAAAATATGAAAATTAGCATTTGATTGTTTAAGTTTTCTTAATTTTATAATCATACTAAGCACATGATAAACTGTTTTGAGCTTTGGAGACCTTTATTACTTGGCTATCAGCTGTTTTATTTCCTCATAATATTAGCCACAGTTTTTCATGAAATGTGGAAGAGAAGAGCAGCAGAAATTGAATATGATTGGGATGTGGCAGACTTTGAGGAAGAGGTAGAGAAATTTAAATGAGTCTTTCTTTATTTGTTTGTGCTTATTTTTCAGATTTTAAAATAAAATTATTTTCTTTTTTTGTGTGGATATTTTATTGAGTAGCTTTCTTTACTTCAAGAATAATAGTATTATTTTACATTTATTTTCTGTTTAGACATTGAAATTTTAAATATTTGTCAAACATAAACATAATTTGAGTGGATCATGCTAATAGATTTTTAGAAATGTTAAATTTGAAACCAACAAACCCAACAGTGAGATACTATAGTAGACTGCTTTAGATCCATTGAATGAAATATTAAAACAGTTTATATGGGATAGTGGTAGCTTGAATAACAAATTACTCATATATAACAAGTTACTGTAGTTGTCTCTTAACAATAACTAATATAATAAAACCAAATGAATTCTATGACCTATTGAAAGCACACTACATTTTTTCCTTTGAGTACATTCACTATTATTTTACACAGTAATGTCCCTTTCTATTTGATGTTTGTCATCATTTTGGAGAATAGCAGTATTGAATTTGAAATATTTAAAACTTAATTTTAAAAAATTTTAACAATTTTTCAGGAAACTATCAGACCTGAGTATGAGGCCTCTGTGAGACGAAGAAAAGTTAATCCAGTCACCAAGGTAAACAATGTTTTCAAAGTTTAAACTCAATAAACAGAGTATGTAAATAATTTAATTTTTTAGTTTAGTAGCCACAGAAACGTTATACTACATAACACATTAATGGGATAGGTGCTTGCATGGTTTCAGAGTTTTTAAGAAACACTTTGCAGTTAATGGGTATATGAAAAGTAACAATTACTAATTAATGTTTACATATGCATGTTTTTATTGGGGTTTAGGAAAGCCCTTTGTTTGGGTGTATTTTAAATGCAATTTTTGTTCCTTTAAATTAGATTTAGTTTTAGTACAGTTATTAAGCCTACTACTACCATCAGATGTTCACCATATTGTTTTTTGACACAAGTAGATTAGATAATGTAACTTGAAATATAAATGTTACACGCAACAGTACTAATATTATGCAAAATAGTGCTCAGCTAAAAAATACATGGAGCATACATATTATTTGTATCTAGGTGAACATTATTTTAAATATTAAAATTATTGATTTTCAATTTGTTTTATATTGTTATTTCTGTCGCAATGGTTTCTCTAGGTAAAACTTTACCAGTTTAAATTAATCAATATTATGAGGTTTAGGAAACTCCACCGCTACATAACTCGGTGTAGTTTTAGAAGCTTCCTAACAAATCAGTGATCAGAGTCAAAGTTGTCAGCTCTTAGTGACATTAAAAGGCCATTGTGGCCAAGGTCGTATTGTCTTATGCCATTCATTTCATACTTTCTCTTTTGAAAACTGGACCATATGCATTGGTCTGCATCTTTTTAATTTTTTTGTTAAGTTAATTATTTAGATTCAAGAAAAACTTGGCACTGATTTGAAAAGACATAATTTGTCTTCTTTATATGTGTTTTTAAACATCTGATAACCAGTTAGTGTCCTAACATGGGGCCATGCATTCCATTTTTATTGCAAAAACCAAATGTCATTTTCAAAATAAATAGAACGACAACAGGCACATTGTGGAGCTTGAGGTAGGCCTAATATTTCCGTTTTCTGATTTGACAGCTGCTGTCCTGTCACTGCTAGTATTTAATTTGTTTTACCCCATGTCTTTTAAAGAATATTTCTGTCTAAAACCTTACATTCTCAGAGTTGTTATGCTGTGAACAATTGTTGGTGGAAAAGTATTTGTTGAAATATTTCTTCAAGTATACATGATCTTCAACACAGTTGGCCGACCAATCTTAAATGTTTATTTATCATATTTGAACTCTAGATATTTCTAATTCAGCAGTAACTCTATAACCTACGATCCATTAGAAACAGGAGATGACGTATGAAATTTTCATTAAAGATGATTAATGTTATGTAATGTTATATCTAGTGGATATACATAATTTTAATATTTAAAATCTTCCTCATTTAGAGAAACCAGTTTTTACTATAGTCTGCTTCAATAATAATTGAACAAATTACAAACTTAAACATTGAATAACCAGTATATTTAAATTTAACCTAGTGATTACAATATTTTAGTGTTGTCACCAATTTTAAAGCTTCATGGGGTATAGGTAATTTTTATTCTGGTCCATTTTTAAAAGTAGAGTTTCAAAATTAGTAAATGATTATTTCTAAGATTCCTTATTTAGAAAACCATACACATGTCAAATATTGCATGTGGCTTTACTCCCAAAAAATCAGGTTTGCTTTTTTTTTTTGTTTAAAATTCATATCAATGACTTCTTAGCAGATAATGTGTAGAACAATTTTTGAATTATTTTGGATCCCAAAATACACAACATTTCTACTATTTGCTTTCCAGAAACATGTTCACATCCTTGTTAAAAAATTAAACTTATTGCATAAGAATTTGATGATCTATCAGTTCTACTTTATCCTGAAGTCTGTTAGTTTTCCTTTCATGTGTTTATTTACCTCACAGTATTCATGAGGATGAAAATGCACTGATTTCTAGAAAAAATATCAAAACTGAATATTAGATTTAATTTGTCTGTGTCTTTTAAGTTTCAATATACTGATGTGCTATATTTCTAAATATTTTAATGTAAGCTATTTTTTACTTACTTTGGGGAGAAAAAAATAATGCATTTCAGTTAATTTCAGATGTTATGAAAGTATTATTTAGTTTATGACAATGTGTGTGCTGATATGTTGCATAGATTATCTAAGGTAACACTTCGGATTAAATAGACCGTGGCTCAGATTGAAAATTTGGATTTATTTTATCAATTATATAAAATGATAAAAATATTTGTAATTTTAAAAAAATAACTGTAGACTGTTTTATTCTCTGTAAATATATGTTTTATTTTGTCAAGTAATTAGATGCTCAGATGAGTTTATAGTGATACATCCTTCTATATGCATGAATAATTGTGATATGTTTCCCTGATATACATATATTTTTTTAAATTTTGTGTTACTACAATAAGTTTGTAGCTATCTTAATTAGTCACAAACATAATCTGGAATACAAATTTTTTTTAGCTATCAAAATTTTTTGTGATAATTCTATCCTTTAAATGTTGTAATTTTGGGGGAATGGATCAAAATACAAAATAGGGTGACGTCTTTTGTGGATATACTCATTCAACTTAATCTTATTATATTTATAAATTGTGGAAGAACACTTTAATACAACTTCATGATATTTCAGGAAAATACAGTCATTAAATTCATCTTGCTTTCTTTTTATTATTACAGAATGGACCCGTAAGAGATTGATTATTATCTGAAATAAATTGTTCTAAATAAAAAATAGTGCCAGTCCCCTGCATGCATATACTATTTAAAATAAATTTTTAGCTTCATTAAAATATTCTGCAAAACAAAGAATAAAATATATAAATTTGGAATAAAGTGTGCCTGCTGTTTCCAACATCAATTTTATTATCAATGTTTGACATGTCAGAATTTAATAAAATAACCAACAGTTTCCATATCATTTTTGAAAGGACTTGGAAAACTAAGTTATCAATTTTCTAATGTATTGTATGCTTATCCCTGCTTTTTTTAAATCCTGAAATTCCCTCCCTTGTATTTAGACAATGCTAAGCAATTTTTTTCAGACAAATTTGTATTGCCAAAAATTATATATTTTAAAACATTTTGAATTTCCAGATGTCTCCATGGTTTAAGAAATTCATTTTCGAGAGCATATTATGAATAAAAAATTAAATATTCCTCTTATATGTCTCATTTAGTGTACCGGTATGTTTGATTAGAAGGATCAAAGTAAACGTTATAATTATAACTTTTGCTCTCTATTCCATGTGGTCTTCTTGGGGTGGAAAATTTAAATTAAGAAAAAAAACTATTTTTAATTCCATAAATTTTAGAAGCAAAGGTCATGCAACTGAAGTTTGATTCTGTCCTATTAAAACAAAAAAAAAACTTTCTTTACCTTGTGTTTATTTACCCTATTTTTTTATCTTCATAAATTATTTTATTTTATTTTCAAAAGAACAACCCATTTTTTAGGAAAAAACAATATTGATATTTAGTAAACTTATAGTTAAAATTTTAAAAATTAAATTGTCTTATATCATATTTTAGTGTAACAGATCAACGTTTATTAAAATTTTTTAAATTTCTACTTTTAATGAAAGATCATTAGCAATTCTACTAGCTGTATGTTACAAAGGGGCCTTATATTGTACTCCAGGAAATCAACATGTTAAATTAAAAATAACCTACGCTATATTATGGTTACAACTTTATAGTTCTAAAACATGTTTAAAATCAGCTTTGGAAAACAAAGTTATAAAGCTGAGTATTGGCTGATTGATATTGAAAGTAGAAAAAAAAAACGGGTGATAGATAAAAGAACAACTTAGAATCTTCTTATTTAAACTATAAATTAATTTCAAAGTCCCTTATCAACAGCAGCAAGTGCAATTGTAGCATGATGCCAAAAGGATGCCACTGATCTACAATGCTTAATTGTGCACCTATTATTACTATTACATAGTAGTAGACTTATAATTTTATTCAAAGCACACCATATTAAAAATATATTGAATATTTCAACTTTAAATTTACAATCATGTCTACTTATCATAGGATCATTATTTTATTATTTATAAAATATATTTTAGGGTCTTTTGTTAGACTTTTTTTTACAAACAGCCGAATTTGTAATAGATTCTTATGGCAATAAAATGTGCATATTTATTATTAATTTGACAAAACACAATCAAAGCTTTTGTTTCTTAGACCCCAGTGCTTTATTTAAAACATCTCCTTTTATTTTTAATTAAGTTACCAAAATATAAATAATTTTTTGTAGCTGATTCCAGATATGATAATATTGACGTTTGATACAAATATAGTACGCACAATGTTAATGCAAACTGAACTTTCTGAATAGAATTGAAATTCAAATCTTTTCTTTTGCTTTGATTAAGAGGTTATGCCTAAATTATGGAAGTCAGTATTTAATGAAAGATCTTGAACATCTCATTGCCAGGTTTATGAAGCTTCAAATAGTTTATATAAAGGCAACATGGATTATTCTTTATCTAATGGTCCACAAAATAGACAGAGAATGAAATACTATTTAAAATTAAGTTCTTAGAACTCTGTTTAATGACGTATTAGTAATTTTTACAGTTATCAATACATTAAACTCCATCCCTATTAATAATAAAAAGTTTTTTTTTTACTTTTAAAAAATATTATAACCAAAAAAATTCAAAGTTACTAAAAATGCAAAGATAATAATAGGGGGAAATGTACAGGTATTAAGACTTTCTATTTATATTTTTACTATCCACAACAGTATCTAATCTTAAACTATGTGCTTGTGTTTTTAAAAAAAGAAGAAATTATTTATTTTTCAGGCAGAAGAACCACGGCTAAGTTTTTCCTCTCGTGTGGTGCGCATTTTTTCATCCCTGTGGGTTGTCTTATTTATGGTGAGATTTTTCAATCTATTTCATGATATTAGAATAAATTATATATCATTGAATATCGTAGAAATTAGTTTTTAACTTTTTGATAAAGAAAGTTAGAAGCTGTGAAAGAAACATTGTAATTGTAGGTGATAAATATTTATTATTTTCTTTTTTAAAATTTAACTTCAAAGACCCTTAAGTTAATGGTTAAGTTTCAATTATTAATTTTTATTAGAGTTATATAATCTTGATTTGTAAAGTTAAAATAAGGCCTATCACTTCTAAATAAAAAATGTTTGCTACTTTAAAAATATTACACTAAAATAATTTTATTAATTACATTTTAACTATTTTAGCATTATTTTAAAATTTTTGTCATTTTATTATTTTTTGTGGGTTTTGTTTTTGGGGGTAAAATCACTACATTCGAAAAAAGTTTGTAAATCACCTTGAAATACAGATTTGGCTCTTTATTACATTTAGTATTCATGTTTCTCTTAACAGCTGTGTATTGTGCTGGCAGCTGTGTTTGGTGTCATTGTGTACCGCATGACAGTCTCAGCAATCTTGTATGCAGTTGATCAGCACACAATAAAGCAAAGGGCTGGCATTATAACATCCATCACAGCTTCCCTTATTAATCTGATTATCATCATTCTGCTGGGAAAGGTCTATCAGTTCATTGCCCAGGTATTGACAAACTTTGGTAAGTCCAACTAATATGGTTCTAAGGCAAATTTAAGGTACAACTATATCATTATCATTAATCATTTACCCTCTTCAGTGGGATAGGAAGAGGGTTGCATAGAGGGTGATCTGCCCCAGGCGGCACTTTTTAACAACTCTGGATTTTGTACAAGGTTTTTAAAGTTGGTAGAAAGCATTTTTTTTTAATGTTTCTCTAAAATTATGGTTAACCTCCTTAAATGAGAAGAAAGATTAGCAAAAATGGAATCTGTTATCTAATTCAAAACAAACATTAGTGTACAAAATTGTTGTACCTTGATGACTTGTGTTAACATATGAATGAAACAACAGAAATAAGACAGGAAAAGGAGAAAATAGTTCAGTAGTGTTAGCAAATTGATACATTTTTTTCATTGCTTAGGGAGCAAGTTCATCATAAAATAATGCAATAAATAAACTTTTCACTTATGGAGAATAGAAATTAAATCAACTCTAAAAAATATTCATCTCTGATCATGGTGCATGAAAAATGGGACAAATTTTGTATTTGGATTTAAATAATGCTTCCAAACATAAGTAAAAAAATATTAAATTTTTTAAATTTGAAAAGCTCTGTCCCAGACGTTGATCAATTCTCAAGTTGATTTTTAAGGTTTAAATAAAGTGAAAAGAAATTTCATCATCATTATGAGATTATAAAGCATGTATATTCCAATGAACCAATAATTTCATATGAAATTAATTTTTGTACTTAATAGACTAGCATTATTGTTTCCTTGACAAAAAGGGAACCATTATAGTTATTAGTGCCCTATAATTTATTTTTGACTTTCAGAAACCCACAGGACATTGACAGAATGGGAAGACAGCTTCACACTAAAAATGTTTCTGTTTCAATTTGTGAATCACTTTGCCTCACTATTTTACATTGCATTTTTCAAAGGGAGGTGAGTACCACTGTTTTTTTCAATGAAATCAAACAATCAGAATGGCTAAAGATAAATAATTTTCAATCAATAAGATAAAATACATATTTTTTTTAACATCACTAGAATTTTGTATTCAGTTTTTTTTAATCTATCCCAATTTTATAGACTTGTTGGTCGCCCAGGACAATACAACAGGGATATAAATAATTCAAGACAAGAGGAGGTACATTTTCCTAAAAATAGAATAGGCCTACTATTTTTTTGTAAAGTTAATTAAAAATTTTCAAGCAATTTTTTTTAAAATTATGATTTTAAGACATTGTTATTTCTTTTAAATATCTGATCTCAACATCTACATATTCTCTTTCTAAGTGTGATCCATCAGGCTGCTTCATAGAACTCTGTATCCAGTTGGCCATTATTATGGTGGGAAAACAAGCATTCAATAACTTTAAGGAAGTTATTTTTCCGTAAGTTGAAGTTAGTTGCTGTTATCAAATGAAACTATAATACTTGCTCATTATTAGAAACTTTTGAATGTTACAAAAAAAAATTCAAGCTTTTCTAATAGCATTTGACTGTTTTGTATTTTATATTTCGTTCATCATAATTATTATTTTTTGAGGATTGCAATTTTTTAATAAAATATTAATTTCATTCTAATTTATCAAACAAATTTAATCATGCATCTACTAAAAATTTTATAACAAAGCAAAGAATTGAGGGTTTCTATGACCTGGGCTAAATTATCTCATATTTAGAAAAGTCATGAACTGGATCAAATCCCGCAAAATGAAAGAAATCGAGAAGAAAAAGCATGAAAAAGTTTCACAATGGGAAAAAGATTATGCCATGGACACTATGCCAGACCTTGGATTATTTGATGAGTATTTGGAAATGGGTAAGTTTAAGTTACAAAGTAGTGTGTGAAAACCATTTATTTCCTTGGACTTATTGAGTTTGCTTTCAAAGATAAAAATATTTAAATTAAAATTACAGCCAAAGATCAATGCTGAATCTCATTTATTTTAAAAACTGAATATCCTTGGTACACCAAATAGAGATAAAATTTCTTATGAGATTTGTAAGTACATTTTTACTTAAAATTGAAAAGAATTTTTGCAATTCAATTTTTATTTATTTGTACGAAACATTCGTGAAAAAATGATTCATGACAAATTACCTTTAAAAAATGTTTAAATTAACCATTAAAAAAACTACAATTTAAGGTTTAAGCAATGAGGGTGGCTCAAAGTATGAGGATAATTTTAAATTACTGGTGACCCACCATTTGATCATTTTCACCAGGTAAGTGATTTATTTAACCTGAAAATCGTGACTTTATTTCTTATGCATCTTTCTACAGTGATTCAATACGGATTTGTCACAATATTTGTAGCAGCATTTCCGCTAGCCCCACTGTTTGCTCTTATTAACAATGTTGTGGAGATAAGACTAGATGCCTACAAGTTTGTCACACAGTGGAGGCGACCTCTAGCCATGAGGGCTCAAGATATTGGTGAGTTTGGATTTATTTATTATTCAAAACTTCTTTAATGTAGGTATGTTACAGAAAGCATCTTTATCCCTTGCATTTTATATTAAACTTTTGAAGATATAGAAATATAATCATTCTACTTGCAATTTCACAGGTATATGGTTTGGAATTTTGCAAGGAATCTCAAAAGTGGCAGTCCTATCTAATGTAGGTTTTATATTTCTCGTTAAATTAAATTATTACTATTCATGCGTTTTTCATTTAAAAGTATAAAATACTTGTGGTTAATTGTAAAATAGTATAAAAGGCTAAAACTTTTTCCTCCAGTGTTCCATTTATGGCATTTGCTTATATATTTTTTTCTATCCCAAAGGCTGTCATCATAGCATTCACCTCAGAATTCGTCCCAAAACTTGTTTACCAATATGTATACAGCAGAAATCAGAACCTTGATGGCTATCTTACTTTTAGCCTTTCAACATTCAATGTTTCTGACTTTGAAAAAGAGAGTCTTCCAAATTCTTATGATGTTAAGGAATTTGGGAATGTGACTCACTGCAGGTTAGTACGGTCAATTTTAAGTCTTTCAAAGTTATTTCAAGAAAAATGTTGAGAAACATTGTTGAGGGTGATATGAGGGATATCTCATAACTTTATAAGGCTATACAAAATTGCATTTTTCACTTAAATATTTCATAGAAGAAAGTGATGTTTCAATTGATGATATCTCATTTTGTTACACCCAAAATTGTGTAAAACTGTTAATATATTAGGCCCTAGTGATAATTATTTAAAATATATCATAAGTCATGCCTTGCATTTTAATGAATGGATAAAGATTCTTTTTACTTTATTATTTCTGGATAAATCCTAAAATCAGACTAATTTTATAGTACAAGGACTGTTTATTAACTTAGTATAAAAGGGAGCGTATTACAGACATATGATGGAAAAGGCAAGTTTGAATGAATTTGTAAATAGAAAAAGATGAAACAAAACTAGAAATGTTTTAGGGAAAATGCCTTCTTTATGGAGGAACCAAAACAAAGTGCACAAAGTAGTTTCCATTCTTAAAATTAGAAAGAAATAATAAATGTGAAACAAAGTATGGGAAAACCTGTAAATAGGATGCAATAAAACAATGAATGTGTCTGCAAGAAGCAATCTCCAGCGAACAAACAACCAGTAATAAAAATATATAAATGCAAATAAACACGTAGCTGAAATGTATCCTAGGGGACATCAAGAGGAAAGTATTCTGCTCTACAAAATTATTGAAGAAGGAATGTGGAGAAAGAGTGAAATATTTGTTAAATACCATTCATGTTAGGCCATACATGTTTTAAGAAGGATAGACTGATGTCTCTGTATCAGATATCAAAAGCTGAGGTTTTATTAGCCTATGGAAAAGGCTTTTATAAGTTATTTCAGATTATAGTTTCGCATTTAAAAACTCATTCAAGATGTAGTGGTGTTAGTAGTTAATCTTATAGGGATGCAGGGTAGGGGGCCTTCCACTAATAGTCTTTCAGAAAGAGCAAGGTCTTTAATGTAAGTTGAATCATTAGTATTTTAAGTTATATTAATAAGACACGAACAAATTGTGTCAATAGAACAATATGAGTTAGCTTTAATAATAATTGTACATTATACAGAATTAAACGTTTCGGCACATGCCTTCATCAGTACAAACAAACACAACACATTTAAATAAGTATAAATTAAATTTACATAATGTCAATATATATATNTATACTTATTTAAATGTGTTGTGTTTGTTTGTACTGATGAAGGCATGTGCCGAAACGTTTAATTCTGTATAATGTACAATTATTATTAAAGCTAACTCATATTGTTCTATTGACACAATTTGTTCGTGTCTTATTAATATATTTTAAAGCTTTATTGCAGTCCAACACTTTTTATAGTATTTTAAGACAAGGTGCATTTTTTATTTTTTGAGTGTAACAAGTTCAAAATCATAGTTACACCACTTCTGAAGATTACTTCCTATACTTCATGTCTGATGCTTTTTTATATATATATCTACTCATTATAATTTTTTAAATAAAATAATTAGTACGTATTAATAAAAGATTTGTTAAATTAAGAATGAAAAAATAAATGAGAGCTTTTTTAAAAAAAACTTTTAAACTTATGAGTGCTTTTGTCGTTTTTTCTCTAATGTCAGATATCGAGATTACAGAAGTTCAGATAGCCCTTATGATTTAACTCTGCAGTACTGGCATATTCTTTCAATAAGGCTGGCTTTCATACTTATCTTTGTGGTAAGACCTTATTAGTTTTTCTTTTTGTTTCACATGCATACAGGTACTTAATATAACCCATGTAATGTTTTTATGAGGATAATGATATAGTTAAAAAATTATAATTATGGTATACAATGTATGAATATGATCAACAACTTTTTTCACATATGTTTTCAGCTATTTGTCTGGATACTTTCCTGGTTGATTGGTTACATGGTACCCGATATCCCTCGAGCTGTTAAACTACAGATACTGAGAGAAAAATATTTAGCCAGAGAATCAATCCTGGAGTCGAATTCTATGAATAAAAATACAAGCATTCCTTCAAGACACTCAGACAATGAAAATGGGACAACAAAAAATGGTGTGAGAGAAAGAAATATAGATAAATCACATCCTCTATACTAAAAGAGCATTGAACGACAAACATAAAGTGACAAAAACTGTATTGAAGTTCAAATTGTATAATATTACAGCTAGCCATATAGTTTTAAACTCGTTTTGGGGAAATTTATAATAGCTCAAAAACTGATATATTTTATAAGGTATAAATTAATTTTTCATAAAAAAAACTCCTTGAAAGCACAAATAAGTAATAACTGTAGTTTCATAATAATGTGTGATGGGATCTTTTCCCTAAAATTAGTAGGCTACATCTAAATATTAGTTTGTTATAACTTTTTCAAAATTAAAACCTGGAATCACATATGCCTTAAATTGTTGCTTTGTATAATATATATTTTTTTTAGGACAGTAGATCTTTGTGGACAACTCTTGATACTTAATGTTACACAAACAACTCTTTCATGTTACAAAGCTTGTTCATGGATACATAAATCCTGCTGGAGTCCTAAGAAAAGTTTCTAGGTGATGCCAAATGTCTGTAGGCTTATTGCACCCCCTCAGTGCGTGATTAGCCACAAAAATAATTTCTAACTAGGGCTTAACCGAGTGCAGTTTTTTTACACTGGGTCCGGTTATTTTGAGATAATACCCTGTTGGTTGAAGTGTTGCCAAAAAAAGTTAACTTCTCATTTTCTATAATATATGCTGCCCTTTAAACAATAGTCCTACCAACAGTCCTACACCCTATTCACCGGCCTTAAAATAATATTCTTACAGACAGTCCCACACCCTAAAATTTAAAGCAATAGTCTTACAGACAGTCCTATACCATTCCTGTGGCTCTTTATAGATTAATATAAAATTTGCCTCCCCCTAAAGAAAAAATCAACCTGAACAGAGAGTTCAGACGCATGAAAGCTCACTGTGGGAGTTTTTTTTTTCTCACTCAGTACTATTAATATAAAAGTTGTGGGGAGCGCAGGTTGTGAAGAGGAAGTAGGACACACTAGAAGCAAAATATTTATAAGAGATGCCGGTATGAGTCATTTAGTGCCCAGTTCAGTCATGCTGCCATGGGGCAGCTTGTAACATTTCTACAAGGAAGGTTGCTTACATGTCAGGTATTTTAAAATTTGCTCATTATTCCTTCTTGACAGGCTGTAAACAAATACTATTGTGTCACCAGATATTTTTCTATTAATATATCCAAGCTTCATACAATGTTTACTTCACAGATTTATTTGTGGAATTAATACATAAATTAACAACCTGTTCTTGATTATCTTAAGCTTTCAAAAAATGTAATACTTGGTCAATGATTTGTGTTATTTTAGTTTTAAAATATACTACCGGTACATGTTAAATGTGTTGCTTGAAAAAACAAATCATACTAATATTACTAATAATAGTATTTGAAACACACACACCAATGTGGATAACTGATAAAACTACCGGTGCTAAAAATAAAATAAACTTTATTTAAAAAGAAGACAATATTTTAAAATGTTATGTACTTTCTTGTGTATTGTAGTTTTACACCCCTTTAAAAATAATTATTCTCAGTGATTATAAATTTTACCATTGTTATAACTAGGTATTTAAATATTTTACTTGTAAAAAGCTGTGTTCTCTATAAATAAGCATGTTTTCTACAGTTATGTGACTGGAATAACAGCTCCAAAGCATTTATACCTGTCCTATTCTTTTAAATACTGTGGTTGATTTGATCTGATCTCTTTGATTTCTTGGCTGAACACCAATAGTGTTTCACAAGGAATGTCTCTGATACTGAATTCAAAAATTTAAGCTCTCCCTGCTTGGGTCCAATTTTTATTTTGTTTTAACCTGTGATTATATATCCAGCTTTCTTAACATCATAATTTACAATAAGTGCAATGTCTGATTTTTTTTCATTAATTTTTCTTAAATATTTTAGACCAGCAGTTTTCAGCCAGTTTGGAAAATTTTTACTAAAAAGTATCTGACATAAGAAAGTTTATCTCACTGCTCTAAATCGTACCACCTAAATAGTGTGGAAAATTTGATGTTGTAAGATAAAAAAAAAATTGAAAATTGCTGTTAAACATTTTTACTCTATGAGAGTCTATGTCTGCCTTACTTAAAAACTTACCACTTATTTCATCTAAATCTAAAATTCTGTGATATTCTGTGTCAAATTAATATCTAAATGAAACTGTTTTACAACTTGTCTCATCTATTATTTTATTTTATGTAAAACTTTATCAAATATTTATTATGCAACTCTTAATAGTAATATTTGTTTAATTTATTTTTTTTAATAATTGATCAGAAACTTTTTATTTTTTTTTATGATGTATGGATTAGAAGCTGTGAGTCTGTAATTGTGGGTATTTGTTACTCTATAGTAAGTGTATTCTACCTACACACATTTTCTTTGAACTGGTTCAATTTACAGAAACGTCTGTAAATATAAGTAATAAAATTCAATTATTTTTTTAAATTTTATAAGTATTATATTATATGAAATAATTTGGGTTGGATTGAGGGCTGAGATGAAGTTCAGCAACTGTAACATTACTTTTGTATAATCCTTTTGACATTTGTTTTTTTTTCGTCTTCCATGTCACATGACATTTAAGAAACAATCAAAAGATTAATGTAAATAACCACATTCATTTCAAATTTTGGGAGATGAAGGTTTTAACTATTTAATGTAATAGCTTTGAATTCATATATTTATTTGTTGCCCACACGTTTGTAGTTTAGTTGCGTCCCTTATTTCAGATTGTTCCCTAACTTATTTTAAATTTAAATATTTTCTCCCCCCTTATTATCCTTTACAAAAATTAAGAAATCATCTCATATCTGAAAGCTGAATTTTTTTTCTGTTGGGATTAAAATCTTGATTCTATTAAGTACCAGTATAGTTAATAGATACTAATTTACAATTCTTTAACTTTAAATTAATGCTTTCAATTTCAATAGTTGTAACCAAGGCAAGGTGAACAGGGAGTTTTCTGGGGGAAATTAAGATGTTGGTAAAAATTTTCTTTAACATTCTGATATACAACCATTCCTTTGTTTCTCAAATCTGGGGCCTTATGTCTCTTTGTTATCCTGTAAAAAATGTTTTGTATGGAAAAATAGCATCTGTATCATGGATATTGATGATTACCTCTGTGCTCTTTTGTGTTATGTCAAAGCCACAATGCCACCTATTTCAAATGTAAAACCAATTTGAATTTTTGTGCATTTCTTTTATAAAATGTAGTAGCCATAGCACCTTTTTAAAAAAAAAATTATAAATGAAAGCTGCAGAATATTTATGGCTTTATTGTTTTTTACAATTATAAGAATTATTTTATAAATAATACATTACATGCATGACTTTAATTTATTGTGCCATTTTTTACTCAGAAGTTTGGAGGGTGTCTTTAAGTTTAAAAAGTTTTGAAATATTGATTAATTATTATGTTCTTGTATTTTTATTATTTGTACCGCTCATCAATCTAACTGATAAAAACTTTTCATTGGTGTGTTTTTTTATTTAATTCAAACCTTTCATATAGATACTTTTTGAGAAAAATAAAACAAACTGTTCTTAATTTTATTAATTTGCTTGTATTCTTTGACAATAAAATGTTAAATGTTATTGTAACTTTGCATCTATTCCTGCCTTGGAATTGAATACATGTGTGATAATTTAAGTAAATAATCTTAATAATACAGGGGAGAAAAAGCTTTTGTTAACAGTATAACATAAATTAATTTTACACTCTTTCAATCACACTTTCTTAGGTTAGATTTAAATTAAAAATCAATGACTTATCCAGCACATACATTTTCAACACAATGCACAACAAACCTCTCTTCAAAATTCAGCTAATTATGATGAGCCATTTTGAAGATTACTTTTACATTACAATCACAATTACATTTGGAATAAATGGCATAGATGAGAAGACTATTTATACCGGTATATCATTTATTATATAGGGAATGATCATTATGGACCAATACGTTCCATGGATGGCCTGACTATTGGCAGGTCCCCAGGATTATAGTAAAGCTGGGTTATAAACAAAATTGTTATCTAAATTTGTACTTTTTTCACAAACATATAAGAAGAACAAAAATGGAAAGTTGTTATTAAAACTGTATTCATCAACATTTCAATTATGTACTCACAAAATCAATATCTGATAAGATAACATACCAACACACATTTTTGGTCTAAAATTTCTGTTATTCAAAACAAAACTTTCATGTTTACAATTTTTGATAGTGCTCCCACAATTTCACAAATTAATTACAAAACCATGAAAAAACGTTCACACAATACAAAAAAGTCCATGCAAACAATACTCCATTATTTCCTAAATTGTTTGATGCAAAAATTTGTATTAATTCCACTCCTACTCCTAGGATAGAGTTATAGTACTTACAGCCTACAAAAAATATCTTTGCTCATTTCTATGGAACTCCCTTGCTAAAATAATTGGTATCATACACAAGATGTTAAAATGTTAGAGAATAAGACCATAAAGCTGATCATAACTTTATGGTAGCACTACATAAAAATTTGTCATCCACTTTTCCCATTAAATCAAGAATTGAAAAATTGAAGAGAAATTTCAGGTAAATAAGCAGATTTACACTTCAAAGAGTGAAATCTAGCTGTGGATAATTGTTATAAATCCATTTTAATATAAAGCATTAATTAATATTACTTCATTAAAAAACATTTTCTATGTGACTGCCAGATATAATTATTAAAAAAAATAATAATATAAAATACTTTTACCAATCACTCCATGTTAATTAATTTAAAATATTTTTTTTTATTTTTGCCCTAATAATTTTTTTAGGCTTTTTAAATGCAATTGAATAAAATAATTATAACAGAAGTAACTACCCTTTAATAAATTGATAAAATTCCATGCTCCTCTATAAAACAAAGAAACAACATACAATTTACCTATGTAGGTTGTTAGGTACTTTGACAATATGAGAACAAAGCAATTTGTTAACTAAATAATAAAATAAATGTATACAACTGCCCCCGCTTAACATTTTATGTTACCATAACTGAAAATCAATCACAAAGGATGGTGAAAAAAACGTAAAAATTTCATGCCTAACTCTTTCAAAGCATAATATAACATGCAATGCTGAATCTAACAAAATCTATAAAACAAGTCTTTGTTTCAAATATTAAAGAAATGCTTATGTAATATGAAATTCTGTAACAAATTAATCCTGGGATCCTTTTTTTTTTTTTGGTTCAATCTTTGCACAAATTTTTTATTATGTTGGTATGTGTCAACAAGTCCCATTTACTGTACATTCCTAATTATACTTTTTATTATGACATTCGGCTTGATTCCCTCTGTAACCTTTGGCTATAAACTCGAGAAACAAGATTCCATGTGTCCATATATCTGTCCATACACATGGCAATACATTTCTGAAATTAAAAAAAATATTTATAATCTGCTTTGCTAAATAGGCATGATAAAAAAAACTTAGTACTGTACGTAATTATTTTGAATTACATTTTCACCATAAACAAAACAGCTTTTTACCAGATAGAAAATTCAGTCCTAAACTACTAGTTTGAAGCTTTTAATATGCTTATCCTTGCATTAATAAAAGTATTTTAAAAGAAAAATAGAATTAAATTTACTTACTTGTTCTGAATTGTCTAATGTGGTACCAGGTTTAGCAATACACTTTTTATAACACTTTTCGGACATTTTCTGGGGAGATATATTTGAATATGACAATATTTATTAGTTAAATATTGAAATTATTTATAAAATAATTACATAAAGCAGATGTAAGTATAATGGCAAGAGCTGGTGGATTCTTTTAATTAACACATGGAAATAAACCTCTACTGGCTCTATACCACTTTCTTTAGATGAAACAATACACACAGATATAGTGGAGATGAAAACATTAATGGCATTGAAAATTATAACTGGCAATGCAATAAATTCATTGTTAGTAAATAAAAAGCTGAAATCTTCTTGTTCTATTAAATATTACCTTTGGCCCAAATTCTGGGATTAATAAGCTATCTAAATTTTGAAACTGAGCAAGATTTCATTCGTTAATACTATAGAGTTCATCTGTAGTAACTACTTCGACTGTTTGTGTAAGTCTTATTATAACTTCCAATTAACACTTCATATCCACAAAGTGCCTATGGTTAAATAATATATTTTGAAAAACTATCTATATGACTTTTGAAAAATAAAGCTATAAATTAAAGGTAAAATTGCTATTGACAAGTGTAAGAAGCGCAAAATCTGACTTAAAACAATCTAGTTTTTTTTTTTAAATACATGCTAAAAGTATGCATTGCAGCCAAGGGGAGATAATTCATGAAAATTAGGTAAATTGATAATTAATTTATGAAAAAGTTATCTCTTCAAATTTTCATTATTTCTATATTCTGTACATATATTTTCATGCTTTGTACAGTTTTTTTTAACTTTTTGTACCGGTACAGTTCTTGATCCCAACAGATTGGCATGTATGGAATACAGAGAGATGATTTAGACTGAACTTCATTTTGAATGTGATTTTTCTTTTAAAGTCTCATACCAATGAAACTGAAATGCTGGAAATTAAAGAGGTCTGTAGAAGTAATTCAACACCTAGTATTTATTTATTATGGGTAGTCAACATAGATCTCAATAATGCCAATCTCAAAATAATTTTTACCATCTGCCTCTATCCCTAATCGTCCAGTATAGGTGCTCAAATTCAAAAAATGTCTTTAATGAGAATTAAGCACTTTATTTAAACAGTACAAAAGTCAACACTGATAATTATCAGCAACCACAGAACATGTTATTATTGTTATCATTCTTGAATTTGTTCCGAAATATAAATTGATGGAGGTATGGCGGAAACAGTTCCCCCGGGATTCTGAACTGGTGATGGCTGGTGGCTACTGCTGAAGAAAGAACAGAGTAAATTCTGAAATCCCAGTCAAGACGATTGCATCTTGGACTGTTTGCGCTGCCACCGTGGGCGTTCTAAGTGACAAGACTGTTGACAAGTAGCACAGGTAAACATGTTAGCAATTTATCAAAGTACATCTAGCCAACATGTGCATACTTCTATATCCGATATTTCCGGCAACAACAATGATATTGCACTTTTCATTTCACTGACACATTGTGACAATTGCGTATGTATTTGACAATGGTTGTCAGAGCATGCTGACTTCCAGCCATTTATGTTAATTAATTAATTGGCTGATTTTGAGTTAGCGGTAAGACAGGCCATGTGTTCCAGGGTATATTGATCAAAGAGGTTCCCCCAGTCAACTTCCATCTATGCTCTGTGCCGTATTCAAAAGATTTTGATTTTTATCTTTGTGTTTACTTGATGCAAGTTTTTGTTTTCTCATTTTCTATCTTTAAAAGTGGGGAAGGAGTCACCAGGAAATCCTTATATGAAGGACTATGGGCAAGGCCATTATTTCTAGGCACATACTCAAGGCCTTATCGGGTTTCATAAAAGTTTCTGATACCGGTATTGAAAATAAAATAGACATGCTGTGCTAAATTGGGAGACTCTTATGTATCTAAAAGCAAAATACAAAGAACTGTATCAGCATCAAGAAAATGTAGCAATTAATGAACAAATTAGGGAACATAGGGTATCTTTGATGATGCATCAGTTACTGGAAAGCCTTACATTTTAACATAGTGCTCTGCAACCTTACAATTCAGTAGCAAACAAAAAAAGTAAATTGTGTTACAAAAAGTAGGGTAAAATGTTCAGTGCATGTCAGATGCCTCGTTTGTGATACATTTTTATGTTTTAATAAAGAAACAAAATTTTTTCAGGAATTTTATATGCACTGTCTTGGCAAGGATAAATCATCTGATTGATATCTCTGTGATGTTTAAATTTTTTTTTTACTCATGTGCTTTTATTTTCTTAACTTTTATTCTAAAAATGAGAAATCTTTTTAAAGTATTACTTACTAATAATTTTCCTAAGTGATAATTTGATGCAATGTGCGTTTTCTTTTGAAAAAATAATAATAATTTTTATAGTAAATTTGACTTTTTGGAGCAACATTTCCTTGAATTATATTTTTTATACAAATAGCCATAACTTAAACAAATTTTCAATCTATTCTTTTGAAATTTGAATATGTATTGGAGCATTGAATATATCCTAATAAAATATCAATTTTATTGCTATAATTAAAATATTTTTTTTCTTTCTTTGTAAAACTGTGACTTTATGTTTTTTTCAACTAAGAAAAAAAAAGTTTGCCTAAAAATAATAATAAAATCACATTTAGCAAGTATATTTTGAACAAACACTTGATTCAATTAAAGAGCATGTAATGCCCATTAAAATGATATATAATACTTGTAGGTAGCTACAAAATTACAGCTATGAGACACTTTGAATATAAGTTGTAGTCTAGGCCATAGAAAACCTGAAAAATCTTCAGTCTTTTGAAAGTTAATGCTAAATTTTAAAATGTTATAATAAATAAATTGTAACTTCTAGCCTTACAAAATGTATACAAATTAAGTAGTAGTCACTCCTGTGTCATCGAAGTTTAGCGCATGTATATTTATTCACCAGTGTTAATTTTGGAGTTTCAACAAGGACATGTTTCTTATAATTATAAGTTTAAATTTAATAAAAATGAATGGAAAATTTCATTTATACTTCTACTAACCTATCGATCATTAGATTTAGATTATGATCTGAGTTATGCTCAATTAAGAACAAGAAAGTTATGACACACATCAACAAGTCCAACAAATATTAGTCTAAGTCTATTCACCAAGTCCAGTGTTGGGATTCACTGTGGTTAGGGTGAGACAACTCTTAGCAAAACCCCTACAGCTAACCCAAAATTTACCAATTATCTAAAGTAAACAATTAAATTTTACATTAAAACTTGACAACCAGAAGTTGCACCATGTTCAATTACCCCTCTACTTCTTCCTAACTCAATCTTAATTAATTACCCCTCTACTTCTGCCTAACTCAATCTTATCTATGAAATATTCTCTCTAAAAGACAACATTATTGGGGATAAAATACAGTTAGCTGAGGGGCCAGCGATGTCTTCCACTGTATATAGGTCATGGAGGTTTCCCCAGGTCAACTACCAGCCATAGATCCGTTTTTCTGAAGTCTGGAGGTTTCAAATTTTAGTTCTGTATTTATATTATATGATGAAAGATATTTTATTTATTTTTTAATTTTTGACTTGAAGGTGGAAAATGTCCTGTTAAATTGAGACATTATAGAAATTAATAGCAGAAGTCAGAAGGGCACTTTCAAGCATTCCCATGTCTTCTTTCTTGTGTTCATCTTAGGGTATCAGTATCAGACAGTGATTAGCAAGGATAAATCTTTTTATTTCTTTTGAACTTTGTAAGTTGAATTTTAATAAAAAATGAATGGAAAATTCCATGTTATATTAACTGTATTTACTTTATCAATTTTCAGATTACGCAATTGATGCAAAAAATGCTTAGTAAAGAACAGGAAAGTTTAGTTATCATACACATTCAAGTCCAACTGTTGGTCCTGTCACCCTATGCCTATGTCCAGTACTGGGATTTTCCAAAGTGACATCAATGTGCTTTGGCTTAGGCTTAAGGTGAGACAACTTTGGGTCCTAACTATAGTCTATCTACCTTTAAATTCTAAATCAATATAACTTTATACTTTATTCTAACTGCAAATTTGACATTTACCCATGCCCATTTGAATTTGGGGTAATTATTATTTTATTGATTATTGATGGCCGCCATCTTGGTTGAATCTTTCACGAATGTATCCCTAAATCGATCCCTATGCCTAACCTGAACCCTAAATCGATCCCTATGCCTAACCTGAACCCTAAAAAATCGATCCCTCAAACTAACCTAAACCCTAATTCACTGCAACTATAAATAAGAAACACCCAAAAGAGGCCGTGGCAGTCGTCATCAGATTTGATTTAGCAGCATTTGGTTTGACCCTTATCACAATTAATATACTTGTTTTGGAATATGTCATTTTAATTATTTTTTTCTTTTAAATTAGGTTACATTCACTGAATCAGTCATACATTCACATGCAGACGTCAATGATGAGTTTAAGACTCGATGCCAGAGTGGACTGTCAGTCAACACTGAATTATAAATTAATTATAAATTATTGTATGAAGAGTGGTCCTGCTAACCTGCAATAATTCTTGTGCATTCGCAAGCGCTATTTGTTGTTTGACTTGTGACATTAATTGCTCCCTAGTCGCTGAGTCCATTTTTCCTCCTACAGGTGGGGACGAGAATCCATCCATTATAGTTGAATTAGTGAATCTAACAAAATTGTAAATTTGCAATATTAACACAGTATTACAGTCTAAATACACAAGGTCACGCACAGTTTCCGGTGGGTGATTTAAAAACATATACAAAAGATTAAAATGGAAGGCATCGCGCTTATAATAGACTTATCATTAATCATTGTGTTTCTTTTTTTTTTTTAATAACGAAATATTTTATTCAAGAGATAGGCTTACTTGAATTTATTAATGTTATAATTTTTAAAAATTTCAATTTCACACAAAAAAAATTAACTTAGTAGTATGTAACTGTGGACTGTGGATCTAAAGGAATTTTTTAATGATTTAAAAATTAGACTGAATAGAAATAGAGTCTATAAAAGAGCTTTTGACAATTATGTTTAATGATGTTTCAACCTACGTCGTCTGCGATATTTAAACATTAATTTTATGCGTTTGTATTTTAATCCAGAGTAGGTTTTCTTCTCCGGGTTTGTGCATTAAACTTAAAGTAACAAAAGATAAAGACACCCGGAAAAATGTTCACATCCCGAGAATTCCCGAGTACAAATTTTAAGAATACAAATACAATTTTTTAAAATAAATTTTAAAAAATATTTTGTTCAAGTGACAGATGACATAATCATTCCTTAAGCACAAACCTGTAAAATTTGGTTAACTGCGCTGAATTATTGATAACCTAAATTTAGTTGTAGTTAGTTCTGGGTCACAGTTATGGGCTGTCAAGTCAAGTGTTTTCAAGTCTCGACAATATTTTCATTCATATTCATATGAAAAGAATGGTGGAAAGAATGGGCTTTTAAATTGGGTAAATTCTTGGAAAGGAAATCATTTTAAAACTCAATTTTCCAGTAGATTGTAATTGGCGCCATCGCTGGCCCTTCAGCTCCTGGATAAAATTTAAAAAGCACAGAATAATGCGGCACGCATTGTTCTTCGTAAGAGAGTTATGGGAAACATACACATTGACACTCGATGAATGATAACAGGATACTTTCTGAGGGAAACTCAAGACCCAAAACTAACGGCACACTCTACAACCAACCACTTCAGTATCTTGCATAAGCTGATGACATAGCACTTCTAGGGCAAAGTATTAAAGACAAATCAAAATCCTTTACTGAATTAGAAATTAGAAGACGCATCACTACAAGCAGGGCTGGAAGTTAACAACCAAAAAACAAAATACGTGACCAAGGTAAGAGAAGAACAAACAGATGAACCAATTAAAGTTAGAAACCAGACTTTTGAAAAAGTAAATCAATTCAAATACCTAGGATCTTTGTTGAATGAAAGAAACGAATTACTAACAGAAATAAAAGAAAGAATATCAGTATTAAACATTACAAAAGAAAAAAAGAAAACTATTTATAAAACTGTAATCAGATCAGTTGTAACATATGCAAGTGAAACTTGGCCCCTAACAAAAACGGCAGAAAATCTATTAAACACATGGGAGAGGAAAGTTTTCAAGAAAATGTATGGGCCAACTAAGGATGAATATGGATGGAGAACACGAACCAACCATGAATTGTACAGTCTATATCAGGATTCCACGGTAGTAGCAGAAATAAAAAGAGGCAGGCTACGCTGGGCAGGACACTTAGAGAGAATGCCAAATGACAGAGGAACGAAGAGGGTGCATCACCAATACCCCAGAGGAAAAAGGCTCAAAGGCAGACCTAGGCTTAGATGGATAGATGATGTGGAAAAAGATTTACAACAGCTGAAAGTCCAAGCATGGAAAAGAAAGGCATTAGTTAGATCTGAGTGGAAGGAAGTGGTGAGGCAGACCAAAGCCCTACACGGGCTGAAGCGCCAAATGGATGGATGAATTCATAAACACAAATTCGACCATGCTAAAACACTGACTTATGAGAGAGCTGCATTGGCTGCCGGTCCGTGCTCGCATAAAGTACTAAATTGCAACTCTGTGCTGCCGCTGCTTGCATGACCTGGCGCCGTCCTATCTCAAAGCGCTCATGACGCCTTATGTACCCACTAGACAACGCTGCTCATCTGATAGTGGCAAACTCTCGATACCGCGTGTTCGCCTTGAGACTTGCGGAAGGCGCACTTTCGCATTTGCTGGCCCAACTATTTGGAACACCCTTCCTGTCGCTCTCATAAACAGCCAGACACGGGAATCCTTCAAAACTGATTTGAAAACACATCTATTTCGCAAACACCTTCTGGGGTGATGTTATCTACCATCTTTTCCAGCTAGCTATAATTATCTCCTACATGTATATTGGCTTGTGTTGTTTATGGTTGCAAGGGATGAAAGACTTTAAATGGGTATGCTCGTTTGTAGTTTTTGAATTGTTGCGTTTTGTGTTTAAATTTGGTAAAATATAGATTGTTTCATTTCTCTTTTAATATCGTTGACTTTGTACCACGCTTTGAGCCTTTGGGGATGAAGCATGATTTTTTTTTCAAATACACTTTATTATTTATTATTATTTTTATTTAATGTCATGATTGAAATTGTAACACAAACTACCAATTAAAAATGAAAACTATTTAAAAATCACCATTTATTCTCTTAATCTATTGTTTCAGCTGGTGACCCCATATAAAATGCCTTTGCAGCCCCATTTGAGGTCACCTCCCATGGGCTGGAAACCTGTGGTCTAGTACAGGCCTGCACAACATACGGCACCCACTTTGCGGCCAGCGAAGTAATGAGATATTATTTTTTATTATAATTATCATAATAGCTCCCCCCACCTGGTCCTATTTTCTTTCGGTCCGCACAAGTTTTTCATAAAGTACTACGGCCCACTTTACAGTATGAGTTGTGAAGGCCTGGTCTAGTAGATTATCCCAAGATATTCATCTGTCAAACTAACTTATTAATTAAATGATATTCGTTAGCTTGTAAATATTTAGTCATTTGGTTTTATTTTTTCCAGGGATTTCTGGGATGACGAAAACCTTGTTCCAGTGCTACAAGGATAGGCAAAACCTCTGAAAATCAGAATCAGAAACCCTAGTCAAGAGCTCCGCAACCGGTGTAAGATGCGCCGTGATGGTGTGCCGCGATACGAACCTATAGGTGTAGCGCGCCAAAATTCTTTTCAGATGAAAATCACGCAAAAAACTATATAAATCTGTTGAAAATAAGGGGACATGATTGGCTAAATAACAAGTTGTCAAAGGTTTGAAGTCAGCACAATACAACTGCACGATTAAAAATTTGGCGGTTTACTTTGACAAGTCGCCTCCTCAAAGTTAACTGTGAACACTAGCAAAATAACATATCATCACCGACGAATGAAAGCAGGCCTTACACAAATTAGCTCCACCCTGAGGGTATCCTACCGGTACTGGTATCCTTCATCTGTTTTGTTGACTCCAACTGACACAGTCAAACATGTGTTTATCGTGCCACGGGCATCTACTATTTATTTTTAAAACTGTTGCCTTGTTTTATTTATATTTTTGTTTTCGTTTCCAGAGAAAACAGTTTGAAAATTTTCATTAATTATTGTTAAATGTAAATGCTTTAATTTGTGTGTGGGGTATTTTAAATATATTTTCCTCATATTTCTGTTCTATTCATATTCGAGTTTAAATATGGAAAAAACAATTTAGGCTATGTCACTTGGTATAAAAGATCTATTTGATGTTGGTAAATGTAAACAACAGTAAATTGCTGGGTTTTCCCTTTTTTTAATTGTGATGTGCCGCGTAAATCCAACAAGGGTCTGGGTGTGAGGGGGACAATGTTAAGGAACACTTCTTTAGTGATTGCATTTTTTTTTCAAAGTTTCTTCATTTTCTTTTTAATTTGGGGGAAGAGAGGGGGGGGGGTATGGACGTAAAGGGCTGTATATACAACAAGGGAGGGTGACAAGATTCGGCAAACAAAGAGGAAGTCAAAAGTGCAGACAGAAATGTTTACTGAAGATGGGAAGAACAAAATTAAATAGGAAATGAGCGAAAAAAAATATGGGAAAATCTTAGGGTAAGAAATGAATACAACAAAACAACGAAAGTGTTGGCAAGATCCTTCTTCAGCGAACAAACAACGACCAACAAAAAAAAAAAAATAAAAAAAATAAAACTTAGCTGCAATGTAGTATCCAAGAGGTCTGCAAGAAGAATGCGATTGAACAAAATAGGTGAGAGAGTTAATACAGACAAAATGGGATGGAAGAGAAGAAAGAAAGCGCATTGCAATTTGGTCGTAACAAGAAGGGGCGGAGAAAATTTTAACAAATGAACTAGAACATTACATTCATGCCATGCGGTGTCAAGATTCCATAGGTCTGAATCATTTTTTTTCCCGGTTTGGCATAGTTGTAAAAGACGCAATGTCGGTGATTGCAAAATGCCATGAGTGCCATGAGCCCCTGATTATCNGGGGGGGGGCTCTAAAATGGAACATGTCAAATTTAACAGAGTCCCCTCAAGAAAGGAAAGGTGGGAAAAGGGGGGGGGGGGTGCGTTGACCCCAAAATAGAAAATCTCAACTGTAACAGAGGTCTCTCAAGAAGGTTTCATGATCAACCGTAGTGAAATACAAGAGCAAGTCTTGTTAGTTGCCACCAGAGCAGGTAGCCACTGGAGCAGGGTGCCAACAGAACAGGGTTTGTACCAGGGATTTTTTCAAGCAGCGAAGGTTGTAATCAGAATAAGTTGCCAACTGAAAAGGAAATTCGAAGGAGGTCCATGGAGATGTCTAGAGGGGGTAAAACCATGAGTTTACTGCATTGGGTGACATCAAGTCATCAAGCCTAGTGATGGAACGACACATGTATAGTTGTCCCAGTAATGAGACAGAAACAACATTTTTTTTTTTAATAATCATTATTAAAGATTGACATATTGTTTTATTTATTTAAATTGTGTCTCATTAATCTACTTAAAAACTATATAACACTCCCACTCTTTTATGCTTTTCCCAGCATTTTCTGTCATTTCGATTTTTTAAAAATATATCTATACAATTTTATTCACTGTCCAATACCATCGACTTCCTTTATGTTAGGTGTGTTTAATGCCCAATATCATTGAATTCCCTTATGTTAGGTTTGTTCATATCATCGACTTTACTAATTAGATTTTTTCAATTTGAGCCAGCGTTTCCTAACACAATAAAATAAAATAACATTTACAGACAAATATTTTAAATATTCAAAATTTTATAGACATGTCTATTTTTTTTTAAAATCCTAAATTCGTATTAACTTTGGAACTAAAACAATTAAAATTTTCCTGGCTTATTACTGTAAGTTATTTTTATAACTGCAGCTTATTTTCATACAAGTTTAAATAAACTAATCTAAAATCACATGCTGATTTAGTCAAGGTTCGTCACTGAGGATGATATCCATAACCAGGGCAGTAACGAGGAAATGCGCACACGAGGCGAAGCCTAAAAACGGCACCCACCAAAATGTAGAAAAAGATTATTTTGGCGCCCCGTGTCTTTGTGAAGAACATGGCATTGTATAGTTTTATTCACTTTTAATGTCTTATATATAAAGACGATTTTTGCGCCCCCTTGTGTTGTTGCCCGAGGCAAGTGCCCCCCTTCGCACGACCCTGTCATATTCTCTTCATTTACTTAAAGAACATGCCATTGCACTTACTTTTAAAGGTTTAACTTGGTTTATGGTTGGCAAATGGTTAAAAACGTAAAAATTTATACCTAGCTCGTCTAAAAATACCAAGCTGTCCCAAAGGTTGTCTCTCTTGTGCAGTGTGCAACAATATCTCATTGTCTACTACCAGACCTTTGTTTTTTTTTTAAACTATCTATTGACCCAGACGCTTAAAAAATAAGGGTAAAAGATTAGATAGTCAAAACTTAATACATAAATTTATCGCTAGACTAAGCTGTGTACGAAATTTCGCAGTACCACTAGTACCAGACTTGTGAACTTAGTTTACAAGGCATGTGAACTAACCCACACATAGGTACACGATGTATCAACTTACCGGCACAGAGGTACAGGTATGTGAATTTACATATCGGTACACACTATAGCAACAGACATGCTCGTACTAGAAATATTGTATAATATTAATAATTAATATTATTATTATTGTTGTTCATCCTACGAAGATGAACAAGGCTATATATAAAATAAATAGTAGCCTTGATTTTTGCCTAATTCGTTGGCCTGCCTCTATCGTTTGATTTGTTTTTTTGTGAAACAATAGATCAAGACCACTGGGACATAGGCTGGGATGCAGTGGATGACATGCAGTGTTACTTGTCTCTCGCTGTTCTCAATATGCATTCAAATTCGCAGGAGTTGTCTGAATTATCAGTGTCATACCATCTATGGGATTCCTTCTCGGGGTTGGTAGTAAGAGTTTGCCTTCTCTTAGATCAGTGGTTGGAAAACTGCAGCTCTTTAGCAACCTGAGTGAGAACAAATCGGTTTTCACTAAGAAAAACATGGTTTTGATCTTGACAGATAATTGAAAAGAAATTTGGCTCTCAAAAATTGTGCTGGTGATTTTTGGCTCTTTTGAATAATGAGTTTGCAGACCACTGTCTTAGATAGATGGAAGAGTCTCATCCATCTGGGGTACTGGTTTTTTTCACATGTAGGTTTTTGCTGGGGATTGAAATTGATCTCCAATCCACAATTTTGGAATAGACACATTTGACAGCACAAACAGCCACAGTGGTATACTAGTAATGTGAAATTACACAGATGTACCAATCATCTGTGTCACACATGTGAATATTGCTAACACTTGTTACTATGATATTCCATATGTATGTAATTCTTCTTCTTTATGTGAGGCCCCCACGATCAATTTATTGATCATTCTGGCTCATGGTTTGAATTAGAGTTTCCTTCTCTTAGATGAGTTGTCGGTCCCATCCAACCAGGGTGCTTGGGAGATTGGCTTTGGTAGGGATTGAACTCCAGACCAGCAACTATTTGGAATTGAGTCACCCAATTTACAAGTGGAATAGAGACTGAGATCATTTAGATTGTTAGTGGATGTAATAAATAGGCAAAGCATGTCTGGTTAACAATAAGCTAATGAAAAACCTTTGCTTGTGAAAGGGAGTAATACATTTTTGGCACTTGTAGTTTAAGAGACTATTTTCTTAGCCAACATATGTGGTGACAGCCATTTATAGTGATTGCAATGTGGAAACAAATGTCATGTGCTGTGGACCATCACAGTAATAAATAATTTAACAATTGAAATACAAGGTTTGATAATATGCTTTTATTTTATGTAACATAAAAATAAATTAAATAAAATCTATAGCAGAAAGGAAAGAATCTGTCAAACTGTCTCTATCACAGACAAAGACTGCACCAAATATTTATAACTCTAAATGAAGACTTGTTGCCACATTTTCTAAGGATGACCATTTATTTGTTTTCCCATGTATCCATATTTAAACTGTAAGTCACTTTAGGTACAAGCAATTTAAGTTTCCACTCAAACAGCTATTGGAATATTGTACAAAAAAGTTGATTATAAAATTTAAGCCAGATAGACCATTTCCTTCATACAGAAAATAAGGTACAAAATTAATTATTATACTGGTACTGGGCAATATGATGGGTCTATTTTTGTCAAAAATATAGCACTTGAATATCTCTTAATTATAATGGTAAACAAAATTAAAATTGCGTTCGTAAGAAATAATTATTTTGCAAATAATTATAAAAAATTAGCAGATAGAAAATATATTTTTTTTATATCATTAAAACTCTCCACCACTACTTGCATTATAAACAAACAAAACAAAAGGGTATGATGATATGTTCATCTTTTCAACTTCCTAAATTTGTTGATGTTTTACATTTTATTGCTAAAAATTTCAGAAAAATAGAGATAATTCATTAGGGACTTTTCTTGATATTGTTGTAATGTTTATAAAGTTTGCCTACTTTTTGTGTTGCTCTTTTATAGTAAAAATAAACCAAATGTAAATGATTAAAGATCAGTAATTTATTAATTTTATAACAGAATTCATTATGAAGCACTATTATTCTGTCATTATTTTATGCGATGAGTTTTAAATAAATTTCATTATCAATCAATTAATGATTCTTAACACAAATTTTAAGAGCCAGAATTGTTAAAAATCTGGTCATTTATAAATATCATGGTTATTTTACGGCATTGCATGGACCAACTTAAAACTAATACTGCATTGTTCTTTTACTTATAGGATGAATGTGATGATTTCTGGTATCCAGTTGGTTTTGCGCGAACCTTAGTGAGGACAATGGCTGGCTTAGGTTTGTATATACGCCAGAAAGCATTGGCACCACGCTTCAGCTCCCCATCTGCTGACAAAGAGTTCATGCAACTCCACCAGTTTGTGTACACTGGCATTAAAGGATCACGCCCAGCTGCAAGGCTGTAATCATAAGAGGTGCTCAAGTAAATTAAAGACACAAAATGCAAGGCTGGAAAAATATATAATTAAGCCCACAAAAAGAATGCATGAACTTACATTTCTGTTATTGAATTTTCATTGTGTATTATCTTCTTTATCTTCCCCCATGATAATACAAATACAAGTACTTCCATTTTCATTGTGTATTACCTTCCCCATGATAAGATAAACAAAAGTACTTCCATTCTGTGTGAAGCATTTTCAAACTTTGGATGTTATAATTTGTATGCATTTTGAGTTAATCTGAGATTTTAATGTGATTTCAAATTTTTCTCACCATGTTTTTTTTAATGTGAATAATTAAAAAGCTCACTATTAAAATATAAAAGGTCTCTTCAACAGAATTACTAGCATCTTTTCTAAACTAGTTATGTTGACTTACCCACTACCACTGACGGCCATCACATTGGTCACAAGAGTGAAAGGGTAGGTAAAGTGAGCCACAATCAGCTGCAGAAAACAATAGCAAATATTCATACCGTACTTCCACAAATACTTGTAAAATGTAAACAAAACATTTAACCTCAACAAATAGTATCACACATGTCCTTTCCAAATCACCAGATAGAGATACTTCTCTGTTTATACATTTAAACACACCAATAAGTTTAGTTTTGTTGAAGTGAGTAAAGTGATTGGATAATTTCTTCTCATTAAGTTTAATGACCTCAGTCATATCATTTAGTTTTATTGTGTGAAAGATTGAAAGAAGGGTAACTAGGCTCCCATAAAATATTTTCCAATGTTAGAATACAGCATAAAAACTTCAGTTTATGCTTCTATTAGAAATGGGGAAGGATTGAAAAGATACCTTTGTCCCATAGGTTGTACAACAGCATAGTTTAATGAGTTATTTCTGATGATGTTACCCTTTTTACTTTAAAAAATTAAAATACATTTTTGCAGCTATGAAATAAACTGATTTTTATACATCATGAAGTTATATAGTAAATTATAAATATTAAAGCTCATGAATTACAGACAACTAGCCAATATACCACGCATGGCCCGGGATTGCATTAGGACCCCGAACCTGGTAGGACCCCCATCTCAATGGGACCCTAAATCCTATTTTTACGCCCCGTTAAAAAATCATTCAGATAAATTATAGAGTTAAAATTTGTACCATTAAAATCGGTTTTAAAATGCCATAGATATAGCTTTTTTTAAATTATCGCTATAGAACTTTCTGGAACATTCTAGATTAAATGTTAAATCCTCGAAACGTGTAAAAATGTTTTTTCTAAGTAATTATTCTTCGAATACGAAAAATTATACAACTCAATGCATTAATTTAATTATAGTACAATTAAGTTGAAAGAGAGGCCCCAGGGGGCCCATTCCACAATTCTACCGAATTAGTTTTGCCTGAGATCGGGGCCCTATAAAAATCATTCAAATAAGTTTGGACGTTAAAATTTAAAATTTGTCCCATTCAAATCTATTTAATAATGTAATAGTAATAGATATAGCTTTTCAAAGTTATCGAACTTTCTAGAAAATTCTAGATTGGATATTCTTAGTTTTAAATCCACCGATATTTCAATAAGGATGATGAACTGTATTTATACCAACCTTATCGTATATCCATCAATTCACATAGAAACTGCAGTGCTCTCTAAGCCTATTGATATTTATATAGCTTAAATAAGGGAAAATCCCCAGCCCCAGAAGAATGGATATTATGAGTTCAGTATCCTTCGGTATTTGAAAATGGATAATCAGGTATATGTGTACTAAGTTTGGTCAAGATCCATCTATTCATGTAGGAGTACTAAGCCTATTGATATTTATATAGCACATTTAAGGAAAAAAGCGAATTTGGGGCCACCAACGGAATGTTATAAAAAGTTCATAACCCTTTAAGAGTTCCATCTGGATAATGATGGATATATGTGCAAAGTTTGGTCAAGATCCATCAATCCATGTAAAAGCCTTTTTGAAACAAACAGACCCACAAACACTGCCACAAACTTTCACTTTTATACATATATATATAATATATATGTAACATGAAAATTAAAGATTGGAAAAAAAAAATTAAATAATAGTGTTTTTACCAACAGTCTCCATGCTTCATGGTAAAGTAAAAGGGACAAAAAACTGTTATATGAATGGACAAGACTAATTAATACTCACCCCACATGCTGCCCCTGTGTATGACTTAAGGTCCTAGAGGAAATAAGGAGTAAATTAATAATTCTTTAAAAAAATATAAGCCTTTATATTATGAAATATTATTTATACTTTTGAGATGTTACAGATGGAAAATATATAAAAGGTATAAGGTTAATTCTTAATCTTTTCGAATTGAAATATTAGGAAGTAGAATAATAATCATTATTTATCACAAATAAGCTTTCTCTAACAATACAACCTAAATTAAGTTTACATTCAGAATGGAAAGTAATAATTTCTAATAATGAAATAGTAATTATTTTTCTTTTGACAAAAGACAAAGTGCTTAACAAACCTTTTCAGTGATACAATATTTGTTGATAAGTTTGGCTAGAAATGTTGTAACCCAGATGGCTATTACTTCCCCTATTAGTCTAGGTACAAGGCCACTAAAAGAGAAATATCATGGATGGAGTTATTTTATTTATATTAACATAAAATTTTAACAAAATTACACAGATGAAAGTCTATAGTTAAAGCCATAGTTTATAAGTCATAATTCAACCAAAGAAATCATTTATGAACATTTATTATGAAGGAAAAAAAAATATTCACAAAATGTTAAACAAACTTGTAAAAAATAATTTTTAACCTTTAAATTTTTTCCCCTGAGTAATTTTTTCAGAATACCTGCACAGGATTTTTTTTTTTTTAAACATATAAAATAATATTTCATACAAGAATTCCAATTTTATTATCATGGTTTTAAAAATATTTACTTTAAATAAATAAACTTATCTTAATTTTTAACCTTAATTTTTTTTCCCTTGATTTTGATTAATTTTTTCAGAATACCTGGGTAGGATTTTTTTTTTTTAAACATGTAAAATAATATTTCATACAATAATTTCACTTTTATTATCATGCTTTTAAAAATATTTACTTTAAATAAATAAACTTATCTTAATTTTTTAATTCACAATTGATCACTTACGCAAAGAATCCTAATACGCCATCATGCTGATAAATTTCTTTGGTAGATGACCATATAGAACTAAAATTGAATATAAAGAAATTCATTAAATAATACAAATCTAGATAAAAATACCAAAAATTAGTGTAGGAGGCATATTATAACCCCTTCTCTATCTCCACTTTACATTGGGTAAAATTCTATATAAAATTCTTTCTGCTTCTATAATGTACCAGAGACCTGTTTACTCTTACGATATTGGCGTAAAATGTACGATTTTGCAGTGTATACATTATATATACAATTTTTAAATTTTTTTTTTTACTATTAAGATAATATATTGAACGATTTTGTGATGATATTGTACAATTTTAAAAGTTTGATGATATACTAAACAAAATAATATTTGCTAACAAAGGAGAGGATGAGCTATCATTTTTTAATCATTAAAACTTTTAAGGAATTATGGATTAATGATCCTTAGTATTTAAGTTTTAAAAAACAGCCTTCTGTCACAGAGTGACTAGTAAGCCAAGGTCAACCGTAGCGAGTTAGAGAGAGAGGCAAGGGTAGGGGGGAATAATTAAATACTGTACATAGTGGAGGGCTCGGACCTGGGAGGCCACAGGGGTTGGGGGGTACCGACCGACTAGAAAGGGCCTGCGTATCAGCAGGGTTACCAGCATCTGACCAGGGGCTAGCTTATCAGACTTCCCTGGAAGGACCGTTGCGCTATTGCGCTACAGGGGTTTAGGACCATTGCAATTGTTCACAAATTTAAGTACTGGAAGATTTGGGAGTCAGATTACAAACAAGGTGGTGTCAGAAAGGGTAGAACTTAGACCCAAGCGTTACGTAGCGTGAAGGAGCTCGTGACAAATTGGTGTCAGAAGTGGGATATTAGCAATTGTATTGTGCTTATTTGTATCTAGTTAATTGCTTATTGAGCCTCACGGTTCAAGATCCACGTTATATTAGGATTATTGTTATTGTTTGATGTTACTGTAGATTTTCCTCTATCTTCAGATAATTTTATTGTAACATGGAATACTTAGAAGCACTCAGCGCTACTAAAAAGAAAGGTGTAAGCGAAGCTGAGTTTAGATAATTGTATGAAGAAGAGAAAGGTAGACAGAGACTGATGATGGAATATGAAGAAAGATAGAAGCAAGCTGACCGTGAAGAATGACAGAAGCAGGCCAACCATGACCGTGAAGAACGACAGAAGCAGGCCGAACGTGACGAACGACAGAAACAATTGGATTGTGAAGAGAAACAAAGGGAACGAGACTTTGAGATACGTAAATTACAGTTACAATTTGAAATCGAGGCAAGTAGGAGTAACGGGATGTCAGACAATGGGGACTTGTCTAAACGAAGTCCGAACAATAGAGGCTTGGACTGAGAGGGTGACTACGCCAATGGATTCAGTGAAGTGAGATGACCTGTCTTGAAGGGACCGCGCATACCTCCATTTGACGACACAAAGGAAGACTTGGACAGTTATCTCCAAAGATTTAAGCGCTTAGCAAAAGCTAATCAGTGGCCGGAAGGACAATGGGGAAACTTTCTAGGGTCACTATTGACAGGTAGAGCTTTGGAAGTATACACTGGACTAGATGAACAACAAAGCACTGATTATCAGATAATAAAGGGCGAGCTATTCAAGAAATATTTATTAACAGCTGAGGGGTACAGGAAGAAGTTTAGGGAAACAAAGTTAGAGAAAGACGAAACGTACACCCAGTTAGCTGTTAGGATACAAAGATACTTAGACAGGTGGATGGAACTCTCAGAGTCTGAGAAGACGGTAAGTGGCATGACTGATTTGTTTGTGAGAGAACAGCTTCTTAATGTGGTGAGTGAAAATCTTAGGATCTTCCTGAAGGAGAGGAACCCTAAGTCAGTGAAGGACTTGGTGGAGATGGTGGACTTGTACAGTCAGGCTCATCAGGGTGGTAGAGACCACGATGTACTCACAAGACAGAAGACACAAGCAAATGGAGGCCAAGGTAAGAACATTATTTGTAATACTTGCAATGCCCCAGGGCATGTAAGTAAGGACTGTAGAAAGGAAAAGAGCGGTGGTCAGTGAAACTCTCGTAGAGAGGAAAAGCGTGGTTGTTATGTGTGTGGGGCGCACAACCACATAACAAATTCTGTCCCAAGAGGCGGTTAGGTGCAGCAGCCGTCAAAGTGGACAAGGGGGTCACCAAAGTGATGCGCACTGATGATGATGGGCCGCGAGGGCGTGGGAAGGCCTTAGCCGTAGGCGCAGTGAACTCAGACATCAATGGTCTGGAAGGGTACACAGTAACAGGTACAGTTAGTGGAGTGGGAGGCGTAAAGGTCCTCCGAGATTCAGGGTGTAGTTTGGCTTAAGTGGCTAGGAGACTAATGACCAAGGAATGTTTTACGGGTGACATTAAGAAGTACACTGTGGCAAATGGAATGCAGTTTGAAGCACCCACTGCAAAATTTAATGTGGACACACTGTATTACAGGGGACGATTAGAAGCTCTGGTGGTAGATACTCCGTTAGTGGATTTGATGGTAGGAAACCTAGAGGGTGTGGTGGACCACGTGGAGGAGGGGGTGGGGGCCGTGATGACGCGCTCCACTCAACAAAGGGCTGAAGAGGAAAAGGGGGATGAGAAGGGGGATGAGAAGGGGCAGGTAGCCCAGGGGTTAGCCTCCGTGATGAACGAGAAGGGCGGGGCTACGCGGGACATCGCAACAATGTCAGCAGGGGAGGTGATAAAGTTACAAGGAGAAGATGTGTCTTTGACCAGCCTGTTTGAGAGGGCCAGTGGCAAACGTGAGGAAAGCGACAGCTGGCTGATTAAGGAAAATGATAAGAGGGGCAAGTATGGAAAACCTAACATCAAACAAATGTTAGTGCCCACACCGTTTAGGGCAGAGATACTCAAGATTGCCCATGAAAATGTTTTCGCAGGTCACCTTGGAATAGGGCGGACCTCAGATCGGGTTTCTGCATCATTCTTTTGGCCAGGTGTGAGTTCTGGCGTCGCTAGATTCGTGAGGTCATGTGACGCGTGCCAGAAAACCTCAAGTAAGGGGAGGGTGAAAAAGCACCGCTAGTTCCTATGCCATTGATAGACACTCCTTTTGACAGGGTGGCTATTGACATTGTTGGGCCACTTACGCGCAGCAACAAGGGAAATGAGTACATTTTGACCTTGGTGGATTACGCCACCAGATTTCCTGAGGCAAAAGCATTGCCTAAAGTGACAGCAGAAGCTGTGAGTGAGGCATTGATGGAGATGTTCTCACGATTGGGAGTCCCGAGGGAGATTGTGTCGGATAGAGGGGCACAATTTACAGGTGAGCTCATGCGGGAGGTCAGTGAATTGTTTAAGACAAAACAACTGTTCACTACTCCTTATCACGCAATGGCCAATGGGTTGTGTGAGCGCTTCAATGGAACGCTCAAGGCCATGTTGAAACGGATGGCACATAAGCATCCTGAGGAGTGGGATGCCTATCTGGCACCATTGTTGTTCGCCTACAGGGAGACACCTCAGGCGAGTACAGGATTTAGTCCATTTGAGTTGATGTTTGGGCATCCTGTGAGAGGACCGCTATCTATTTTGAAGGACCTGTGGACAGGTGAGGCAAATCCGGAGGTGAGAAACACTTATGAATATGTTCTCACTATCAGAGAAAGGCTCCAGGACGCTCTCGAATTAGCAAATGAGCATTTGAGAGAGGAGCAAGAAAATCAGAGGAAGCACTATGACAAAGGTGCTAAGATGCGATATTTCCGACCAGGAGATAGTGTGTTGATTTTTTTACCCACTGAGAAGTCCAAGTTACAGATGACTTGGAGAGGTCCTTACGTTGTTTAGGAGAGAGTTGGACGGGTGGATTACGTCATTAATGTGCGTGGGAAAAGAAGGACGTACCATGTGAACATGTTAAAGGCATACATAAAAAGAGAAAAGCCAGTAGAGACAGTGGCAACTGCTGTTATAGAAAATTTTAAAAAGGTGAGGAGTTCAGCGCCATTTTCTAGAAGGAAAGTGGAGTTACAATTATCACAAACAGGACGGGGGACAGATATGAGAACACGTAATGGCTTAGACGCAGTGAGGCGTGACGACAGAGATAATGTGGTCAAGAAGTATGCGCACGTATCTGGTTACGAACCTGTATAGACTAATGTTTGCAGCAATGGCACACGGTTAACGGACCACAGGCCAAGTAAATGGAAGAGGTACTCGTCACCAGTTGCGATGAGGGAAAACTTTAAGGAAGTTAAGAAGTTGGAAAGTGACAGGTTTAAAAGGAGTAACCACTGGAACGTGAATTCAAACGCAGTATATAGATTTCAAACATCGGGTGCTAATTTTGGGGAAAATTAGCTTAAGCGGGGGCCGTGTGTCACAGAGTGACTAGTAAGCCAAGGTCAACCATAGCGAGTTAGAGAGAGAGGCAAGGGTAGAGGGGAATAATTAAATACCGTACATAGTGGAGGGCTCGGACCTGGGAGGCCACAGGGGTTGGGGGGTACCGACCGACTAGAAAGGGCCTGCGTATCAGCAGGGTTACCAGCATCTGACCAGGGGCTAGCTTATCAGACTTCCCTGGAAGGACCGCTGCGCTATTGCGCTATGGGGGTTTAGGACCATTGCAATTGTTCACAAATTTAAGTACTGGAAGATTTGGGAGTCAGATTACAGACATGAGAGGGAACATCCATGGGCTCACGAATTATAAATAGGGACCGTAGGACAGGACTGGGCAGAGCTCAGCGGAACAGGGTAGCGGACAGTCAAGGAGAGCTCCGTCCGTAGAAGTAGTAGAGGACTGTCCGAGTTACCATCCACATAAAGCAGTTGGGCATATATGTATCAACAACGTGTTGGTAGACACCACTGACCACACTTTGAAGTACATTAGAGAGAGGTGAAAGTATCGGACTTGGACTTACCCTGTGCCAGTTTGCTAGAGAGGTAAGTGCATGTAAGGTGTGTGATTGAAGAAGCTGTAGGGTGGTTTGTGTGATATAGAGTTACGTTAGGTAGACGGTAGTAGTTTAGAAGACGACGGTGAGTATCTAGTTGGAAGTTAGGATTGATCACATAGTGTAGGGATTTATTCATATATTTCAGGAATAGTTGCCCTTTATATTGTCGTGACAGTAGATGCTAGCAGACCAACCATCTCAAGCACTTGGCAGTGAGACGAACGTGCATGGTTCCATACAGACGCTAGACGGAAGACAGTTCCACGAGACTCCACCAATAGAGTACGTAGCGTGTTGAGAGTCGTAAACTAAAGTGCCTGTATCGTGCAGGCGTTGTCAGCAGATGTGCTTGAATTATTGAGATTATAGGATAACCTTTTATAAGTTTCTTAGTGTACTTTTAAACATAAGTCTTAGTGTATTTTTAAATATAAGTTACATTACATTATATCATATGTTGTGCTGTACACATTGAGTTTCATTTCATTCATTTATACATTGTAGATAATAAACCAAAAGTAGTTATTTTAAGTTAATTGAAAACTTCTTTGTTATTGTATGTTGTGTTTCCTTGTTTTGTATAAACAAGGTGGTGTCAGAAAGGGTAGAACTTATACCCAAGCGTTACGTAGCGTGAAGGAGCTCGTGACACCTTCCATATTGTCATGGATTAGTTGCATGAATGTCTCATACTAGACGTGTGCCTGGTACAATGTAGGATAATGATGGAATATATCAAGTCAATATTCTTAAGTTAAAATATATTTTTAATAGATTGTCTATTTACACTATCTTCATTTCATTAGTCCTATCAATATATTTATTGTGTGCTACACTACAATTACATGGAACATATTCAACATAGGTTGAGTCAGACAGACCTATCTCAACAAATTCAAAACAAATATGAAATACTTATATTAAAACTTAACACGAACAATCAACTAACTATCTCATTAATGCACAACCCCTGATATATTTCACACCCAACTTATATGCCCGATGTCCACCCCAACATGACTTGAAATGTTGATCTCACTCAAAATTCTCATGTTATTACTTTGAGTTGAGCTTTGATACACCCCACCATGACTTAACATTAAGCTCAGTGATTCTCATGCCTTAATAAACCTGTTGCTGATTCTAATTCAACACATTCTAATTAAACATCAAACAAAACTCACTTATACTGTGTTTCTCTTCCTATAAACTGCACCATTGATCTTATCATTATCACTGTAATAAACATTGCATGTGTCATTAATTCACAAGTTAAGTTATTGAAATGGTATCAGAACACTTATATTTTTTTACAAGTGTGATAGGAAGAAAACAATATTGAAATTCAAACCAAGGTGCCTATCCCAAAACAATATAGTTTCCTTTGTCACAAATTGTTCAAATAAATTCTCAAACTCCTGTCCATGGTGTAGCTACAAGTTACTTTAAATTAAATTTCACTTGGTTTAACTATGGAAATAATATGATAGATGATATTTATAGTTATAGAAAGAAAAAAGCACCCACAATTTTTTTCTTTGCGGTTTGAAAGTCTCAAAAACCAGGTGGCATGTTTGCATGTACTTTTTATGTGGTAACAAACAAACTTGCTCTATCACAGCAGGTACTGATTAGTAACTTCAATTGGTTTTAATTCCGATCGCATATGATCTTACCCATCAATTCAAATTCTGACTCTTTTTCAAAGAGATGTTAATGTGTTTGCAAGTAGCCATGACAAAGACTTAACTCAAGAGTCAAAGACAGTCAAATACATCATGTACACATTAATTGGTACATGTTTGAATGATAAAACTCACCATGGAAAGGATGGCTGACAATGACACCACAACATCTGCATAGAGTATCTTCAGAAGTCTGTAAAAATAATAATTTTGTTATCTTTTGTCAATTTACAATTGTGGTAACACATTTCTTGACCTCTGCATTGAGAAGTGATTAAGTGTTTGAGCTTAAAAATTGATGGCATTATACTTTCCACGTTCTATATTAATTTGAACTATTCCATTCACATCATGAAAAAAGGGTAAGATGTCTTACAAAAAGGAAAAGAAATAATTACTGTTTACCTACAATTCGAATTATATTTATAGCAACTACAAAATATGCAAATGTTTATAAATTTTGGTAAAAATAAAATAAAACAATATATATAGACAATGGTTCCAATAGACCCTGATACACATTTTCACACTGAATAGATAACACTGAGTATATTTTTTGTTAATATAGCAGAAATTTATTTATAATCATCAGTAGTAAAATAAATTATAAATATAAGAAATCTAATTAAAATAAAAACATTGGTAAATTGGTTTCAAATAGCATACTTCTTTGGCAAATTGTTTTAGCCAAGGCACAAAATCCTCCTCCTGCAGTCGACTTGAAGCTTCAGATTCATCATTTTTCTTCTGCTTTTCATTACTTTTCAGAAGCTTCAAAAAATTGTAATAGAATATTTGATTTCACTAGTGTAAAGGAAGAAATTTAAACATAATAATTTGATACTTGAGAATATATACACATAGGGAATATTTGTAATTTGTATCAGGGATCTCAAAATTGTTTGATGAAGTCTGCTGTGGCATAACACACTAAATTTGAGCATGAAACACTGTCTTTTTAGGCTTTAAAAAAACTATACTCAGCAACAGAAACAAATAAACAAATTTAAAAAATGATTAATCTCTAAATTGCTTTAATTTCAGGGCTAACAACTATTTTGGGATGGAGAGTTGGGAAAAACCGCTCATTGGTAGAAGTATTATGATTTGAAATAGATGATCATGTTTTTCTGTAGAGTTACTTATTCATGCTGAATGATTTATTTGGAATAGTAGAGGTTTGAGCTAGAACTAATTAATCATCAAAGGGTGAACCATAAAGTGAATTTGTATCCTTTTTATTTGGGTACATTCTGCACTTCAAATTTTTTTTATCATGCAGAATTCAATGGAACTGGGTTTTTTATTTTTTATCACTTTCAACTTTGTTCATGCAAGAAGTAACAATATATTATGCATATAACTTTTTTACAAGGTCTTGTCAAGGCCCTTTGCAAACTGCATCACAATGGCATAAAATGATGTTAGTTTTGTCTGTAACACATACATTAAGACACTGCATGTGGTGTTGTAGTTGTTTAAATTATATTTGTTCTCTTTTTTAAAATATTACACATCTAATGTATTATACTGACTAAGAGATGACCCTACAGGAAGATGAAATTTAAGGAAAAAATTATCAAACAACTAAAATTTAAGATCAGCTATATTTGTTTTTAAAGTTCAATATTTTATTTGGTTTTGAAAGGTAGAAACATGCCATTGTTGCATTAAAAAAGAACCTAGGTAGTGTCCTGACACTCAATGGCATGACTAAACCACTGCCTAAGTCTATACCAATGTTTACTATTCAGTTCCAAGTGAGAAAATTAAAACTCCATGAAATATAACATATTAGATTTTTAGAAAAGTACAACAGTAATCAAAGTGGAGGAAGAGGACCTTTATTTATTTGTTTGTTATAAGGCAATCAAAAGGGTGGACCAATAATCTAATAGGAATTATCCTCCTTATGCACAATTTTTTTATTAACTTAATTGTAGAATTTCTTTTCCTTTAGTGAAATTATACAGTAACAAAAACTATTTTTTTCTAAAATACTATGACTATGGTACTCACATCTTGAATGTTGTACTGTACTAGGTTGCCAATGGTACCAGCAAGAACCCGGGGGAAGACACCTCTGTATAATCCAGTAAAACCATCAACCTTCTTTATGTGGCCAACTAAGACATAAGATAAAGTAGTAGCATGTACATCACCATGTTAAGTGAAAAAAAACTTCCTATGGCCAGCTATTATTTATTTATCTTCAATAGCAAAACTTAATAATTCAGTAAATAAATCAATTTTAAAATGATATCATATAACTGGTCTCTTATATTTACATTGTTTTTAAAAAATGTACTCACTGTATTTGAAAATGTTTGGATAAACATAGACCTCTTTACGGAAGAGGAATGTTCTGGTGCTTTCAGGTGGCAGAGGTTCATGACCAACCTTTTAAAAGATAAAAATAAAAAAACTTAATTCGCAAATATTTTAATATTAAATAGAAAAATAATTTACATAGACTGTTTCATTAAGTACAGTCATGGAGAGCTAAGCTCATTGTTTCTTAAAATTTAAATATTTCTTCTTTCCTTTTTACGTACTACTTCTTTTATTTTTTTTTTTTGGTAATATTAATCTGCATATGAAGTTTTTGCTTTGTCTTGATTATAATTCAATAGTACATAATCATACAACACATATTTTAGAAAATACATCTTGCTTCATTTAAACTAGTCATTAGCATGCTTCCATTTCAAAGAAAGGGAAACAATTTTTTTTTAAAACTAAACCAAAACACCTGAAACGTTTTTATTTTTAAAGATAGATAACATGGTACAAAAATGATGATGCCTTTTAACGCATAAATATGTCTTATTTATTATTTTAAATTAATTACACTTTTAAGGTCTTTCTTAACTAATCAGATAAAACATTGCATGTTAGTGAAATATGATAAACCAAAGTACTCATAGTACTTAAAGTGACATCCCTGTGAAGTAATAGCAATGGTAACTTAGGCTGCTGTTCAAACAAAAAACGGTGGGTTTGTAATTGTCCTAATCAGTCCCCTGCTGTGTGTGAAAAGTCAAGACCCATAAGCCAAGTGAGGTAGCCATCCATCATCATGGGGAGGAGGTTAACAGTGAGTAAAAAATATCAACCACCACAATTAGAAAATAGCAATCAGCTTGTGAGGCTTGTCATATGGGTCAATACAATTTGTTAAATGGTTTTTTTTTTAATTATAGAAAGATAGTATTTAAATATTAAAATCCATATACTATACGCATAACTTATGAAATAAGGTGATCCTTTAAGAAAAAATTTAAAAAATAAGAATAAATGAAAATATGTAGCCTATTAAAATACACTGCTAATGTTGGTTCGGTGCACAATTTTGAGTTTCTGTTTAGGATTATCTCCCTTTCATTTATTCTTGGATAATTACTAGAGTTAACTTTTCTTTTTTAAAATTTTATATTAATTCACTGATAGTATATTTTAAATTATAATTATAATTTTACTGGGTGGTTAGTTATAATATTTAAATTTTCTTGCATTTTGGAAAATGGTTATTGTATTGATTTCTGACAACAGTTGAAATTACGCAAGGAAAGGGGTGACTGCAGGTTGTTGACAAATCTAGAGGAATACACAATATGTTCGCCATGAAATTAATGCACCAGCTGAAATTATAATTGTATTAAATTATAACGTTTTGTTTCTATTTTTGTTTATATCTGTAAGTAGCTAAACTAAAACAGCACACTCTCTCTCTTTCCCCTCCCTATCCTATGCCCCATATTAGCAGAATGTGTGTTTGCATTACTTTTTTTTTAACATGGTCCGACATGGTTGCCAAATTGGTTGCCATGACCCACAAGGTCAAGCAAGATGGTGGCCGTTGGAAATGAGTGATGCATCAAACCAACATTAAACCAAATTCACTAGTAAAGTGTGATGCATCAAACCAACATTAAACCAAATTCACTAGTAAAGTAAGTGTATTTAATATTGACTTACTCTTACTACTAAAATATTATCTCACCATGGTATAGATAGTGTAAGTATAAATCAAGTGTGGAGTGTGTGTTGATTCTTATTTATTCTTAATAAATAATCTTGTGTACTGTTGTGTAAATTTGTAATTCACATATCTATTGGAAATTGACCACACATTAAAAAATATGATATGGCGTTCCTTTTTGGTTTTCAATAATAACTTAGTATTAACTAGTCACCCTACAAAGCCATAATTACTACACACTGACTGAGACACAGTCAGTGTCATCACACGTCGTGTACTTGATTTCTTATTTATTACTTACACTAGTTAGTTACACTTAAAGTAAAGTTGGAGAGCACGCTACTTCTACAGTTTTAATAAGTGATTCTTGTGCTTATACATCTGAATTTTGGTCAAAATATCGTTAGCTTTCTGCAATAATGTCGCTTGTGCCATTTACCTGCATCAACACTTTAGCATATCCAAAAGGATGCAGCAAAGCAGTAATAACGGCACCGCTTCCATACTGGGCCAGAGCAATTGCAGCCATTTTCCAAACAATGGTCACGTGACAGAATTAAAGAAAAAGTGTCTACTAAAGGAAAATAAAGATACAAATCTTTAATTAATATATATATTAGATCTATATATGTGTATAATATATATATAAAGTCAGGGGGGGGGAGGCCTCAGCAACCTAACGATAAAAGCTAAAGTATAAGTATATCCCGGGGCGAAGCCTGAAAACGTCACCCTTGTCCAGAGGCGTAGTGATGGGGGGGTGGGGTGGGGGCAGGGGGGACAGATGTCCCCGGGCGCAAGCTAGTTAGGGGCGAAAAAATGTGATTTTATATAATATTATTGGTAAAAATAATGGGTTTTAGAGTTGAAAAAAAGAAAAGGGGGTGCTTTAAAACGGATCTTGTCCCCGGCGCGAATCTTGTCCCCGGGCGCCAAACACCCTCGCTACGCCACTGCCCTTGTCCCCCACCCCCAGGGTTTCATTAAAAACAAATATATGACATGAAATAGACATGGTCTATAAAAAGACATTATATTTTCAGAGGCGTCACTAGGGTTCGGGCGGGTTGGTGTCATCCGTTGAGGTAAGGAGAAATCAAAAAACATCGTCACAAATTTGGGAACACCCCCCCCCCCGCACACACACACACACTTTCCGTTTAGACTCGTGAGGTCACTTGTGAATGGCCCCTAAACTCATTGCCATGGTGTCAATCCCTCCTCTTCGGATTCCCCAAACTGACCTTCACCGAGTAATTCTTAACCAGGAAATATAGGATAACTTGTGTAAGTATTTTTTTTTAAAAATTAAGTCCCAAAGCAAAAAAAGACTTAAGAAGAAAACATAATTAAAATATGAGATAGTAGCGTTAAAAAAAATGCAACAAAATTAGGCCTACTTTTTATTGATGATTTCAATTTTACAGTTAAAACTTTACTTTCCTCTTCTTCAATGATGCAAACCTGTCAATCGTAGTCAACATTTTTCCACCTATCACTTTCAATTGACAAAATCACAAGACCAGAAGGATTTGACTGTTCCATTTTAGCACTCAAAGAGCTCTTCAAACGTGTGAAAATCTCCTCTCATGTGAAGCCACAGACCAGGGATCAGGGTTTCTTTCAGCTATATCTCGGGGGGGGGGGGGGGGGGGACTTCCCCCCAGGAAAGCCAAGTGCCCCCCCCTGGCGCAAAAATATGTCCAACAATAAATCAATTGGAACTGCTGGCCCTGCCCCCCCCCCCCCCCCGAAAATCTGAAGTGCCCCCCCCCCAGAGGGGAGGGGGAAATTTCTGAAAGAAACACTGCCAGGGGTGACCAACTCAAAAAGGCTTCGTTAGCCACTTTGATTTCAAGTACGGTAACATTAATGTGGCATTGTAGGCCACGCTATTTGGAAACCATGTTTAGCGCCCAACGCGGTGTTGGAATTTGACCTCGGGTTTAGAGTATCATAACATGCAGCATGAATGTAAAGAGGCACATTGCGCAGGATACTTAAATATCGGAAACCACTATGTGTGCTTTTGGTTCAGGTTCAATTATTTATTTCTTGGTAACCCTAGTGTATTAAGCTTTGAATTATATCTAGCTGGAAAGTGTATTTTACTCGTTATTACTTACTATATATTTACAAGTCTACATCTTTAGAGGGCATTCTAATATCAAGCAATAAAGAGGGGGGGGGGGTCGGTCCAACCTTTTCTATTAATATATCTACAAAACCATTAAACTTATGGTCATGTAAAAGTGTTTCTAAGATAGCCGGGACAAAACGGGAGCAGGCACATATAAGTCTTTAGGGTTCTGATCCGCAATTTTGATTTTTATTCGGGTTGGAGTCGCTAAGGGATATTGTTAATTTACCCCAGGGAATCTGTTAGAAGGCAAGTAAAAGACGGTCTCAGTCGTCGTGTGACGTACATGCTCTCTGGTCTGTCCACGCACTTTTACGTTTAGTGTGCGCACTAATGAGATGTTTTATTCAAAGTTTTAACGCATACTTAAAAGTGCGCCATTGGTCTCCGCGGCCCATTTGGACGCTCTGCAAATAACTCTTTATATTTCTTTGTAGTATGCAAGTATTAGTAATAGAAGATTTATCATCATTACTTATATTAGGCAGTTTTTTAATTACATGTTAGCGCCTTCAATTTGACTTGTAACCATGATTTTTATGATGGGTGAACATACAACCGTCAATTTGACTTGTAGCCATGATATTGTGATGGTTGAACATAAGTTATCAATGAGGCTTGTAACCCTGATAATGTGATGGTTGAACATACAGCCGTTCATAAATGGAATTAGATACCAAGGTGTGTGAGCATGACACGCAACCGTTATATCGTTCTGGTTACACATACTGCAATGTGCTTATAAGCTATAGATAAAACAGTATACAATCGGCGAATATATACGTAAAATATTATTATGTGTAATAGGCTAACTCTCCTGCCTTGTGCTAAATTCTCACATAGGAAATAATGCATATGTTAGGATAATATTACCAGCTTTATAAATGTAATTAGACATTATGCAATTTGCGTTTGTCTTAAAAAGACACATCGATTGTTAGATACAAGTATCAAACAAACGGTGGTCATGCTTTATACCATTGATATTAACTGTCCTACTATGTGCTAAGTTCTCACATAGGAAATGGTGCATGTGTAAGGACAATATTGTCAGCTGTATTAATATAATTATACATTCTGCAATTTGCTTTTGTCTTAAAGAGACACAGCGATTGATGGATACACGTATCAAACTAACGGTGGTCATACTTTATACCAGTGTATACCATCGCTATAGGTGCATCTTACAAAGGCATCATACATGGACGGTATACCATAATAATTTCTAGACCTTTGTGTTAGCCGTCACATCTCACACTGGTTCTGAATTTAAGACGGTGTACCCGGTACGTGTTATAAGTTCAACACTGCCACGTGATTTCTTTTAAAATATAATTTTAATTGCCATTTGTATAACATGTGCTACTCTATTCTTAGTTAAGTATATTTTGTCACAACCTGTAATACTGTAATTACAGAGTTTTCAGTGATATAACATGTGTATTGTTAGCTGTGTTATCCAATGTTAGTCAGGACATTGCTAACCTGTACTATTTGTTTCTTTTCAGATACTATCGTTTTTCTTAGTTTTTTTCTTAGGCTTTTTAGTTTTTCTTAGATTTTTTCTTCAGCATCTTACTTTAGAGTTCACAGTAAAGCTATAGTCCTCAAGACCTGAAATTTTTTTTAGTGTATAAAGCTGTCAGCCTTGTTATTATCTCACTACACCCACTTTGCTACAGTTTTTGTCGCTGAGAGCAGGGTTTTATAGTGTGTCAACCAAAACGGGCATAGACACACAATGTGAAATGAGTAGAACAAATTAGGGTTAAACCTGTAAAAAGGAACGCAATATGTTGCGTTCCTTTTTTTTTAGGTTTAACCCTACTTTGCTTTACTTACTTCATATTGTCTAACCTGATTGCAGTCTCTCCCCTTATCACCTCACACACATACACGTACACCACCCTCCATTAGCCACCACATCACACTACTACATTGAAATAAAAGTTAACTGGAAATTTTGTTTGAAAGAAATTTCATCGACGGAAGTTTGGTAGAACGGAAATTTTATCAATTTTTTTGTTTCAGTTCACACTATCGATTTTTCGTTAAATTTCTTTTTGAACGCACTATACTAATATACTATATAGTTAAACAAATAATGCGTTCAAAAAGCTGTATAACTAAAAAGTGGATGGAAAAAGTCAGCCCCTACAAAGTTCCAACCAGGATGGACTGCCCTCTCTTCTCATGCCAGTGAAGCATTTGAAAACCACAGCTTCTCCTCTAGTGTTCAGATATATTTAGGGATATTTTTTTTTATAAAGCCAGGAGGTCACTTTAACTTTACCATGCCCCGCAAAATGTCTATATTTTGAGTTTAAAAATGAATGATTTGGGAAACGAATCACAGTGTGTAAATCTAAGAATAAGCAAATTAGAAAACGATATATAAGCAATGCCATGAACTGTAAGTAGATAGAATTTATTCTGGTATAAAATGTATAGTCTGTGACAAACATGTTGCTATACAAAAACATCTGTAATCATGCATGTGCAATAAGAGAACAGTCAACATTAAGTAACATGTTGAAAATGGTTTCATTCTTGCTGAGGTAAAGTGTTTTGGTTAACCTCTTTACTCAGCAAGTGAGATTGTAACAATTCATAGCTGATTACATTTTTTTACTTGTATAAAATGAGTTTTAATAACAGCAAATTGCATAATGTTTTCAGGTCATTTTTTTGTTGTTGTTACCTTTTTTTTTTTCATGAAACATGAATCACATGACTATATTCTATGATATTCAAATGATATTCCTTAAATGATATTCAAACCAATCTCCCTATAATTTCCTTCTAACAATATCATTGATTTAAAATAAGTCAAATTTAGTTCAATTAGCTGTAACAAATTTAAATTCTACAATTGCAATGGTACAAAATGGAAATGGTATTTAAATTTTATTAAGCTTCTAAATTCATTGAAGGGTAATACAACTTAAAGTAGAGACATCAATGCATTTGGTGCTATGCCAGAGCCACTATCTAATTACATTTCTATACCTCTGTAGCTTTAAATGTAAATATTTTTTAAACATCAAAGGTAAATCATGACTAGTGTTATGAGCTTTTAAATGCTACTATTTAAAGTTTCAAACTGAATATGAACATTTTGAGGTTTGGCAATTGTTTTCTAGACATAGCCTGCCAAAACAATACTGCAAAAAAATTTAACTTTGTGAAACCTAAAAAAATGAGTTTTAACGAGAAGCATAAACATTTTAAAAGTAAAATATTTTCTAACACTTAAAAATATTTTTATTTATAACATTGTGTTCATTTTTAATGTTATAATTTATAATAAAACAACTCAACATCCACTGCTGTGTATTTAAATACATGAAAATGCTCCAATTGACAATTAATATCATCTTAGGGCCCTTGTGACAAGAATTAATTGGGAAGTAAATTTAGTGATTCAAGTTAAAGCAAAAACTCAAATTTAATCTTATTTTTATTTTAAACAACTTTTTTTATTCTGTAAATTGTTTGTACTAGTGGATAAATTCACAGACATAGCTAGTGAATATTTTTGAAGGAATTCACAGACAGATGATTCTTAATATTATTTGATTTCTTTTATCAAGAGCAGGCAATTGCACAACTCAAAATGTAAGGCGGGCCATAATACTTTATGAAAACCTTGTGCTGGCCAAAAGAAAATAGGACAAGGGGGAAAGCTATTAACAAAATAATAAGAATAAAAAATATTTCGTTACGTCACGGGTCACAAAGTATAAAACATGTTGTGCAGGCCTGATCAAGAAAATGAAGAAAAGCGCTCATTAATCAAAGCTATTTATGTAAAATAATTACAGTAAGCTAAAATTTGAGAAGGAAGTTATGGCACAAAAGTATAAAACATGATTAAGTTGTCTTCTAAGTGGGTATTATTTTAATTTTTTTTAGTTATGTGAATCTAATTGTATTTAAAATTTAACAGATAAATGGGGGTGGAAGGGTGGGCTGGTATCATGCTTTGACTTTCTTCCTTTATCTCAACCAATGTTCCTTTAGACCCTGTCCTCTCATGGTTATAGAACTACAATTTTTTTCAAATAGTTTATGAAAAGGGTCACATGGTTGATTATTTTCTTTATTTCTGAAAAACTATAGATTTCTTTAATTTTGACAAAGATGATTTATATTTTAGCTTTTTATTTTGATGATGGTGACCTCCCTTATCAGATGAGATATATATAAAAACTATTTAGGGGTTATTTCTGTGCTGGTGATATATTGTTTTAATACCAAAATGTAAGGCTGCGTCATTACTAATAAACTGCAACATGATGTATTAGTCCAAAATCAATAACAAATAAACAGACTGTCAAAACAATAGAGAATGCATCAGTGTATGTAAGTAACTGTGTGTATTTATATGTGTGTGTGTGTGATATATATATATATATACCTCAAAGCTGTCACAGAAACATCATTGTTGAGTCAGGATGTAAGTAAAGAACAATGTTGTTTTTTTGGTTTAATTAAAAAAATTATATACATTGTATTTAATAAATAAGAGAATCAATAAGTTCCGGTCATTTGAACACATTAATATTAATCCAAATGCCCACATTAATGTATATTAAAATATGTACATGCACTAGAGTATATCATTTAAATAATAAAACAATAACTTATGACACATCTTTTTGCTAGCTGCCCTCTGCAGTTGCGTCAGTAGGACGGAGAGTATACACAGCAACACCCACAATTACAACAATAAAAGATATCACATAAAGTATATGGAACTGTGGAAGAATAAAAAAAAGTACTTTTCACTTTTTAAAAATTAAATAAAGGTAATATATATTATATATATTCAATTGCGGAAAGACAACAATTTGACTTTTATTTTTATATGTTTTATTTCCAATATGAATGGACCACTTTAATACATACACACAAAAAAAAGCCTATTAATGCCCCAATTAATTGCTGTAAAAAAAAAACTATAAAAAAAAGAAAGTTAGAAAGTTTTGTGTTGTCTTTTGTTAACTATTACTACTTCAACTCACTGTGTATCCAAATAAAAAGATTCCAAATATCAATGCATAAAAGTCAGCTGAGAGTACAGATATGTTTGTGACCGTGGCACTTGTCTTTTGTATCACATATGACATACAAATATATATCATGAACAGGAAAAAGAAAAATCCTAGCCATGGAAGCACTGAGGAAACATTTTTTAAAAAAAATTAAATTATTTATCCAAATGCCATAGAATATGCCTTTATCTGATTAATATTAAATGTTGTATACATACATAACAACTACAGCTTATTTGAATTGAGCAATTATTTGAATTATGAATGCTCCGTTTATTTGCAGTTCTAAATAAATGCACCCTACACTTAATGCTTACCCGGACATAATATAATCTTAAATCTATTCTATTTTAAGTAACTTTAAAAATTGTTCTTTTTTAAAAATGTTGTTATCCTGTTTTTGTAAAGGGCTACAATAAGAAACAGACATACCAACTTTGTAGGAAGAAAAATTGACTCTTGATAACTCATCACGTTCAACGAGTATCCTGCAATGACCACAAAACAATTTGCCACATATAATTTGATTATTAAAGCTTATTACGTAGATAATAATATAATGGCAGAGTAAAATTCTGTTGACAAATTTAGGCTGGAACAATTTAGAAAATCATGATGTGAAGTTATTTTAAAAGAATTGATTGCATGAAAAAATAACATTGATTTGAAATAAAAATTGCTTAGTATAATTCACTGATAACCTTTTATTGTGCATACTGTATATTACCCTGTATAACATGATTCTGATAGAATGAGAACCCCTAACATTTTGTTTGAAAAAGATCTCAAAAATGTCATGTCCACAATATAATGCAATCTGTTAAGATTTTTCTATTTTATATTTATGGAATCCTTCAGTCTTTGCGAGATAGAGTAGCTATTGACACTTCATCAAATGGCTTATTTGGCAGATGCTGGAATGGCTGTCTCTGCTGCACTTCTTGCAGGACAACCTTGACTCCTGATTACATTTGGCATCCGTGATGCTCTTTTTAGTTGCAAGGGCTTTGTTTCACTCATCTCCAGACGTTCTGACTCCCTCACAGACTGATGTTCGCCCATTGGCTGATCACCATGTTTCACTACCATATAGAAACATATTGAGCACACATACCTGATAGACACTTAGTTTTGTGTTTTCAGTGAGTTAGGATATTCCCAAACTCTAATTCAATTTAGCCATAGTTGCTGATGATTTGCAATCCTGATGTTAACCTCTTCTTCAATGGAGAATGATCTAGAGATATTGGACCTAGGGTATGTGAAACTCCTAATTACTGACAAATTTTTTTATGACCCTCCTCAGTTATGTTGTTAGGGGACTGTGTTTCTTGCATCATGACAGTTTCTTCTTTAGACTAATGGTCAGTCCAAACTCTTTACATGCGTGCGAGAGGCAATTAACTTTTCACTGCATACCTAATTCTGTGTGTAATGCTAAAGTAGCATATTCAGCAAACAGCAGTTCACTAATTAGCAACTTTTTACTTTGGTTTTTGAGCGATTGCGGGCAAATTACACTACTTCTTGATTGTTTTAGCAGTTTATGAACACAGTGGATAAATTATTGAAATAAAGTCAATGGCTCATACTAGTTAATGTGTTAAAAAAAAATACTTTGCTAATTTTGACATAAATTCATTAAAGTACAAGAGTTTGAAAAAATAAAATGGGACAACTTACACTTGAATGCCTGAGATGAATGTACTAAACAAACCCAGCATGCCAAGAAATTCAGACTTTTTGAAATTCTTCACAACAAACTCTTGTGCTACATTGCTTATACCATACAACACAGCACCAGAGATAACAAGGAAGTCTCCTAAAACCACATTTGTACCTTGTTGATGATAAAATAAACTTTTTAAAGAAACGACACATTTATTAGGTGCTCTGTTTGCTTTTAAGAGTAAAACTGAATTTAACAATATTAGATCATCTTTTTTAGAAAGCTTATCATTTTCTTTTTAAATTTACTTTTTAAAAATAGGCTTATTTTTAAAGTCTTCCTTTTTATAATTTTTCTTTGAAAAATAATAGGCTACAGAATAGTTGTGCAATGCTGTTTACAATTTATGCATACCATCATCATGATTTTTTCCTGTGATAACATCAGCAGCCACAAGACCTCCCAAACCTAGCACAGAAACAGCAACACCAATGTAGTGTGTCCAGCGGTAATGTGTATGCAAAAGCAGCTTTGACAGAATCAGAACAACAGCTATACTGAAGCAGTCTAAAATCTGTAAAAAAGAATATGCATTAGAACTAAATCACAACTACAACTTAAAAAATAAGTGTTGAATGACACTAGTTCGTACTAGTTCTATAAATTGTAAAAGTCACTAAAATGAAAAGAATTTAAAACTTTTGGTCTTAACCTATATATATATATATTAAACATTGATGTATGTTGTGATGCAAGTATTGTTTCCATATTGAGAAAAAAAGCTTTACAATAGTTAATTTTTTTGACATATTTCATAATAAATCTGACAGATACTTTGTTTAAAAATTTTTAAAAAAAAATCTACAATAGAGAAAGAGGAGGAATATATATATAACATTGGGATTTTAAAAAAAAAACAACAGTTGCATATAATTTAATTGTTAATGGTAAACATTTACTTATATTTTTAGGTTTAGCGAAATAAAATACCTGGACACTAGTTATTGATGTATAATTGTATGCCTTAACGACAAGGTAGTTTGCTTCTACATCAATTAAGCCAATTATTGCATATTTGAGACCATCCCAAGATCTGAGGATATTAACCAGGTTTCTCTTTCCTGGCTTGTAAGCCAGCTGTGTGGTGAAAACAATACCCAATGCAAAGTACACCAAAAAACTTTGGGCTGATTGAGAAATATAGAAAAATAGGGCATTATAAATATTGGCTACTGTCAAAAACTGCACTTATTAATGAGCATTGGAGAGACAAGTTACTCAGTTTCTAGATAAGCTAACGCTTAAAAAAATAAGAATGCTTGCTTAGTATGTATTATTAATAATAGCTTTAACATCAAGAAGCTACTAAATAATATAAATTACAGTGTCATTAATAGAAATACTTAGGCAACTATACATTTTTGTACATTGTATTCATTGGTTGTTTTAACATTATAAACCGGTATGCAAATGATTCAATGAGTTTTTCCCAAGGTCGAAAGAAGATTGTTCAAATTACTTACATTGTTATGTCTAGTTTGCATTTAACTGATTTACATTTTTAAAAATTATTACTAAATCTTCAAATTTATAAAACATACCAGTTGGAACATTAACATTTTCAATTTGTAGGAGGGTAGAAAATACTCCAGTGCCACATAGCAGGAGTGATAAACACTGACCTAATATCAAAGACTTCAGAAAATTTCTAGAAAATATAAAATTAACTATTTCATGTTTCATCAGCTATTATTAATTGAAAATAATAATATAATGTCCTAGAAATAATATGAAAAATTGTAAGCTGTAAAGTCTTTAAGTAATTAAAATGTGATCATTTTAATTTCACATGTTATATCTCTACTGTCTCTGTAAAAAGCGATTTTAAGTATCATTAAACAATTTGTTTTAAAAATGGAATCTTACTTATATTTTATGGCATATTAGTAGTAGTTATCAATTAGAAGAAATATAGCTACTATTGTTGTTGGTAGAAACTAAACTTTAAAAAAAACAACTCACAGACTTTAATACTGTAACAGAATTAAATAATAGTTAATTTTATGAAGAATTATCTCATACCTGGAGCTAAAAGCCTTCTTCAAAGTACTGACCCACTTGTTCTGTTTTATTATGCTTGGTTCCTTTAAGGGCTCAGGTAAATCATTTGAAACACTGTCTTCTGAGGTATGTGTCAGACTTTCACAAGCACTCACGTTCATTTTAGGCTTTACTTAACCTTTAACTTTAAGGGCTTTGCATTATTCTATGACCAGGTTTATTTTTTTAGAATTAACCACATAGTTCGCAGCTATTCTTAATACTTAAAAGCATAATGACCATGGCCACGTGTGATTCCGAACATTTTCCAGATTAATCTTGAATGAAATTCAAAGAAAAAATATTTTTTAGGCCTATATTTCTTTTCAAATAGGCCTCGGCCTATCCAGCTAGTTTCCCTACTATTTTCATTACTTCTCAAGTTATTCAAATTTACCTGGACACTGGAGTGGGAAAACGTAACTTAATGGCAGTGGAGGGGAAAGATTTATTCTAATTGGCATTTTGAATTTTAAAGAAATGTTTTTTGTTTTTTTTAAAGTTCCTTTTTTTTGTATTGTTAACAATGAGTCCAATGCCAACACAAAAATCCCTCTCTGTATTTCAATTTAATTTTTGTCCATTAGCTTACTCAGATTCCTTATTAATAAATATTAAAATTAAAAGTAAAACTTAATACTTAACTTTAACCTTCTCAATTTTTCTCATTCTCTGTGAGTCTCAGGGAGTTAAAGTTAATCAGGTTAAGATTCCTTACACTTACACATTAATTGATTTATATAATTTATAATTATTATATATATATAATATAAATATTTAACAATAATAATATTTAGCATTTAGTTATAATTTATAGTATAGTATAGCCTAAAGACTTTACTAAACTAAAGCAGTCTTATTTCACTTATTAAATAAATATTGCCATTATCATTATGATTATCCATTTATTTTTATTATTATTAAACCAATTATTAAGCTAAACAATTTATTTTTATCAGCATTATTTGTAGACTGTAGACTTAATAAGAATTGAATGACTTGCACTTGTATGTGTAAGTAACTTGTTAAGGCAGTTTAAATTTTTAAGTCTTTAGTTTATTAAATCTTACTTGTTAAATTATCACCAGTCACTTAGAATCTTATTGTCATTATTGTTGTTATTCAAAGTTTTAGAAAAAGTTTTTATGAACTCTTCTTACTTAAGTCTTTGTAAAAGTGCAGTTCAGGTGCGTTATCAGTTATTGAACTTATTCATTTACATTTTAGTACGATTTTAGTTAGTTTTTTAGACTTAAGTTCAAAATATATATATAAATATAGTCTAGTATATATTATATATATTTTATTATATATGTATAATGAATACATTTACATAGTATAGGCATAGGCATAGGCATATAGGCTATAGGCTACTAGTACTTGCCTACTTTAAGTTAAACTTAAATAACTACGTCTCCATTGCTTGCGAGCTGTAATACAACTTTAAATTTCAATCCCAGCTGAAAATGAGTGAGAATTAAGAAAATGTATCTTTAAATTGTTTCAAGCTCGTAACAAAAAGAATCTTCACACCTGCAATTTCTTTCGTGTGACTAGGCCAACCATGTGTTTTTATTACGACTTTCTAATTTTAGTACCCAATCGAAGAATGAATTTTCTATCATGTGATATAAACAGAACTACGCAAAAACACAGGAAGTAGGGAGAAAACGCAAAAGAGCTCATCATAATGTTGCATTGATTATATTGATCTAGTGTAGTTTAAGATACATTTCAGAGCGTAAATACATTTTAGTATATCTAAGTTATACTAAAATTTGAAGCAAATATGTGTGACCCAATATTTGAATACCAATTTAGACTCATTCTTATTGGGGACAGCACAGTTGGGAAGTCTTCATTACTTCGTTACTTCACTGATGGCAAATTCGACGAAGCTTGCGATCCAACAGTTGGTGTGGATTTCTATGCGCGCTTGATGGAAGTAAAGCCAGGAGTTCGAGTAAAACTTCAGCTATGGGACACAGCAGGACAAGAACGATTTAGGTTCTATTTTCTTTATCATTGGGACCCATTTATGATATCTCATAGATAGAAGAAGTTGAGCTCAAAAGAGTCACACTTTTCAATTTCAAATAGGCCTGTGTGTTGACTAATTAAAACTAATAAAAAGTAATAAAATTATAATCATAATGATAATTAATAATGTACTTTAAATTTAAACAGTTTTATGTATACTGAAAAAAAGTTGTAAAATGATTATCTGTTTTTGTTATTGTCTTATTTTCAGATCAATTACCAGATCATATTATCGCAATTCTGTTGGAGTTATGATTGTCTATGATATCTCTAAACGAAGCAGTTTTGAAAACCTCAAAGAGTGGTATGAGGAAGCTCGTGAACATATTGAGCCACACAAGGCTATTTTTGTCATTTTGGGTCATAAGGCTGATAATGAGGAAAATAGACAAGTCACTTCCAGAGAAGGAAGGCGCTTTGCTGAAATGCATGGACTCAAATTCTTTGAGACATCAGCAAAAACAGGTCAAAATGTTGAAGAAGCTTTTGCTTCTATAGCGAAAGACACATATCAGCATTTGCAGGACGGTCATATCAAAATAGAAGAAGGATGGGATGGTGTGAAAGCTGGATTTTCTCGACCTAAAGAAACTGTACAACTAGCTGAGGCAGAAGGAGAAAGCCGATGCTGTTAAATTCTTTTTTATTAAGAAAGAATTTCATGACTTTCAGTAATTGAATAATAGAACATATTTTCTGTTTTGCCCCACAATGGTCATAATATAGTGCTATAGTTTGGGACATTTCACTTAAAATGACAAAAACAAATTTGAACGTTACTAGTTACTGTTTATCTAACCACTCTTATTGTTTTCAAAACCAGTTGACATGACATTCTGTTAGTGAAATTTTAATGTAACCTAAAAACTAAAATATGCTGTTCATAAAAAGGATAATATGTACTTAATAACATGAAACAGCTGATTTGCCCATTTTTCAAACCTTCATTTATTTTTTTAAAAAAATTAAATTTATAAATCAATTTTTATTTATGACATTTTAGCATTGTTTAGTGTGAACTTATTTTAATGTTTATTAGACTCAATTTTATAAACCGCCAGAGCAGATCCACATTTACCCAAACTTAGGGCTACTCCTGCTTGTAATTACTGGAATGCTCTTAAGGATGGTATACCCAGTCTTCCCATAAATGACCTAAGTGGCTCTGACATAAAAGTCTGGAACTTGATGCTTTGTCTATGACCACAGCGGTGATGGCCTTAGTGGAATCATAGGAACTAGTCTAAAGTTATTCATTTAACAATTAAGTCTTTCCTTTGTATCAACTTATTAATTTTAAATTAATTATTTTAACAATGCACACAATCATTCTGAAATATTTAAAACATATTCCTTTTGGTAACTATTCAAAAACCTTTACTCAGTAATGATGTAAGCAATTTTTTAATGTGTTGCTAGAAAAAATGTATCTCTTAACTGCAATTCTATTTCTTTTAATTAAAATGAGTATTAATTACATTTTTCTTCTTTTGCAATGAAAATACCTTTCTGAATAAAAAAATCCTAACCAGTTTAAAAAAATGTACATGTGGTGTACTAGTTACGATTTCTGAAGCTACATTTAATATGCATCTTAAATGAAAACGAATTTTATACACAAAGATTAGTGCAATATATTTTTATATACTCTGAGTTATTATAATTATGTACTTTTCCCCCCCCTGTTTAAGTCAGGTAATAAACTTTCTATAAGCTTTCTCTGTTCATTATATGTAAGATGTAATTTTTTTACAGTAATGATTAAATAGCCATTATTTTCCTCAGACAGCATAATATGTAGTTAACTGTATATACCTGGGAAATCCACTGGATGTGAAGATATTATATTTAAAATGTGACAAATACAACTGGTTAAAAATGCTAATAGCATTAATACTTTATTAAACAAATTGGTGCAAAATTCAAAAGATAGTGATTAAGTTAGTATCTTTTATATATTTAGCTAAAAGTCCAGTAATAATTTATATTATAAAAGTAACTTGGAAGAAAATTTTGAGTTTTTTTAATATCATTTTAAGTTTACAATGAAGAGAGATGTCCATGTAGACATTGCTGTTCACAACTCATTTTATAGTGTTTATCATCTTGATAAGTACACTGAGTTCATTCATCAACATTCATCAGCATCTATTTCAATAGTTATAAACAATAATTTATGAAGACACATAATTTATTAACTGTGTCCAGGCAAATTTGATTGTTCTTTGTGAGTTAGAGGAAACTATCCATACTGTAAATTTAAAGTTAGGATATTTCCCTTCAACTTGCACTGTTATATTTATGATTCCAATAATTGATCATTGCTTACATGTTGGATATTCTCCTAAATGTGCTGGCTATATTTCAACATAGTATAGGAACAAGGTCGTTGCTCTATATATCTTGTCATATCAAAGCTTCTATGGTGCATCATTGTTACACATTTATTGCAATTTTGCATTTTGAATATTGATGCTAAGTTTTTACTGATATCTCTTGCTAGTACACTGTATCTAAAGAATGTATTTTATGAGATTAGTAGTTTTCCGTTCATGTCACATTTTGTGCAGGCCAACTAAAATCACCATAGTGAAGTTCTGTTATCACACATTTATTTCATCACTTCTGATTAACTTTGTGAAAGCTCGTTGAGAAAGTTTGTTACTTGAAGGAATTTCTGAGGACCTTTAATAAGAGTTGAAACAAGAGGGTCAATATTTACATACATATCAGAAATTCTGTTTTGGTGACCTATCATTGAACATTGGCTAATTTTTTTTTTTTTAATTTTCATTATCTTTAGCAATTGAGCTATACATCAAAGTAAGGTTAGGCCATAGTAAGGCTTTATATCTGCTTTATCTGTACTTTTGTATAGTGCTATATTTAATACATTTACCTATATATTATGTAAATATATGATCCCATGAATGACATTCAGGACAAGTTGATATAACTAAAAAGAACATTAAAACCATGCAATAAAATGTAGAAAAGATTTGAACTGCTAATAGTAACAATATATTATATTACAGCAATATATACTTTTTTCCCATGTAAAAATTGTATTAAAATTAAATTAGATAAAAATAATGTTGCATTTAACCAGGGGAAAAGGCAAAAAGATAACCATTATGAGATTATTACAGGTCTGTAGGGTGCCATATGTAAGTCATACATACTTATCGTGGTACGGTAACCATTTTAGCATTTCCCTTTGCCTTAAGTTTATGCCAGTCAGATAGTTGATGATACATCTTAAAAAAACTATCAACACACAGATATTACTTCTTACAATCTGGTTACAGTAGTGTAAAAATTATTCTACAAAATGGAGAAAACTCTGTTGTAGATTCTTTGTTTCAAGCCAAAAATTGTTGTATTGAACCAAGCAGAAGATATAAAACATTAGTAAATCTAGTTGTAAATGGTAAGGCAATTCAATTGTTAAAAGTGTTTTCTTTGTACAATGTAATTCCCCTGTTGATTAATGTAATATATGTCATTATGTTGTCATTGTCAACAACCCAACAGTTTTTTTGTTTGCTGTTGACACTCAGAATTATTAGACTCGGTGCGGTTGGGTAAAAGTCTGTTAAAAGGGTCAGTGGTGTGCAGCCTTTTTATGGGTGTGACACCACTGAAGCTGAGAGATCCCATATGCCATAAGGGGTTAATAAATTTTCAGTTCTAACCCTAATATAATGTCCCACTGAATTAAGATATGCAGACCTGTTTACTCTTACGATTTTGGCGTACAATGTACGATTTTCAAGTGTAAAAATATATACTTTATGCTTATTTTTTACTCTAAATATAAGGTATTGAACGATTTTGTGATGATATTGTACGATTTTAAGAGTTTGAGGGTAAACAGGTCTGGATATGTATCATTAATTTTATTTTTCTCCAAACTGTTGCTTTGAATGTTATGCATCATAGCCTGTTTGTTTGTCACTTGCATTTTCTTCTCTCCCTAAAATTGCACACTTTTTATCCCAGTTTAGCACTTTTTGATGCTCTTCAGTTACATTTCTCTCAGGCCTGATCAATTTTTTTCAACTGCTCCCTAGTGCAGCCAGTGTCATTCACCTTTTGCACTTGATGTTTTTATATTGAGGAAGATTTTGTAAATTTCAGGTAACAATGCTTTTTTTTCTTACACACACATAAAAAGACACAAATGTTAAGGTTCATCATAAAATGTGTCTATTCTTAAGATAAGCATGATTAAGCATGCTTGTACATATGCCAATTAATGGTCACACTTTCCCAGCTTAGGCCAAGTGGATGGGATACAGCCATTTACACACTGTTTGAGTTGACATGAAATCAATTAAAAATAGATCAGTGGTTCTCAACTTTGCAGTAAAAAAAATTTTAAATAGATAAGAGGCAGCCATTCACACATTAATTGACTTGGCATGAAATCAATTAAAATTGGAACAGTGGTTCTCAAATTTGTGCAGTGAAAATTATTTGAATCACTTTTAGAAATTCAATTATAAATAAAAATTATCAGAACCAAAATTAAATTCCATCTGGAGATGCTGGAAGGTTTTACGTTTTTATTTTGTGTGGGGATAGTTTGATTATATTCCTGCTGTTAAGTTTGCTTTCTATGAAGTTGGCCCACAAGTTTCAAGTTGTTGAATAGATATGAATATAAAATCTCTTTCTTTCATAATTATCAGTCTGTAGGGTGTTTCACCCCCCTTTCCCCATCCCCGCATTTTCCCACACTCTTCTGGTAACTTAAGTATTGTAAAAATTATTTTTGAATGAGAAACCCCGATTTGTATTGAATGTAAAATTGAATTCATTTTCAAGTGTGGCCTGTTTTCTGGGGTGTACTTTTACAAGCACTGATGTGATGAAAATATTTTATCCTATTGCAGTGCTGTTTGTGGTCATTTAGAGGCTTCAGAAAGTAATTTTATAAAAGAAAAATGTTCTTAATATCTTGGCATGAATAAATTTGTTGTTTTTTTAATCAATGTCTAAGAATTAATTTTTGTTTTTTCATGTACACATTATATTTTAAAATCTCTTAACTGTTATCATTCAAATGTCTAGTAATGGAGCGTCTATTCCATCTATCTTTGTATCTCCTTAAATTTGTTTGATCACTATCCTTATTTTGAGAATAAGCTTATTTAAGCTATGTGAGTGTCTCCTTGTTTTGTGAGACCTCATATGCCTTTATCCAGAAATAGCAAGCAATTCTTAAATCAACTAGAAATGTTAGCCATTTTATGTTATTCTCCCCTACTATTTAGCTCCAAAGGTCATTTTATTCCAATCCAGTATAAACAAAATTGATTTTCTAAGAAGAAAATACGTTCTCAATTCTTCTTTTTACAAGATTAATGAAAGTTGCCATAGAAACATGGCAAAATTCAAAAATTCAAGTCTAGCCATAGAACATCTACAATCAGAGAGACTTGATTTTGGTTGTATGGTTCAATAGTAAAATGTGTTTAACTATTTGTAACTATAAAAAAATACCTTAAAAACAAATTGTATAGTTTTTCTATCTCTTGTTTGGATTCATTTTGGAATTAAAATCAATTATAATGTTTTTAAAATTGTTTATGAATAAACATTTTAAAAAACATTATAATTGATTTTTTATTCCAAATGACTTTTATGTCGTTTCATAAAAAGAAGCTTTTTTTTGGTCAGAATTTTTACTAGTTTTATTTTAGCTCACAGCCAGTTAAATTATAGATATTTTCTTCTGCTAAGACCAACGCTATATTTAATGTTGAGTGGGAAGGTGGCCTGCCAGTCCTATAGATATTTTCTTCTGCTACAGTTTCGAAATTTTTCTTACTTGATGACCCGGTTTTTGGAAAGCTTTTATTTCAGATTGTATAAATAATCTTGTTGCCAACATTGATCATATAATTATTTATAATTTATAATCTGTGCCATGTTTTTCATATAAATGTGCAATTTTGTAAAATTATCAAACTTATAATAACTATAATAATTTAACATACTAAGTTACACAGCTGCTTTATGTTTAAGCCATCAACCTAAATTCTTGTCATTATGAAGAAAGACTTTTACCAACTAAGTATAAGAACAAGCCTTTACCAAAAAAATGTATTGGTATTGTACCGGTATTAAAGCTGCATGATGTGCTTTTGTTAATGCCACTGGCATTGCCAGTTTGGTTTAAAAATTAGTTATAAAAAGAAAACAATGTAGTATAGGACTTCAAAAGTTTACTTTAGAAAAATCAGACCAAACAATTATTATATGATATGGAGGATATTACAGAGTAATGAAACTTAATAAACACCATTACCGGTATAGACATTTTATTTTGAATGTTGTTCCCTGAAGAGTTTTTCCTGAGGAAAACTCATTGTAATTGTAATAAAGTTCCAACACATGGAAATCAATTTTGTATCCCTGTCTATCAGTTATGTCATGTATACTTCTTGCTCATCACCTGCTGTCTCACTTATACGGTGTTTATCATGGGCATTTTATTTCATATTATTATTATTATTTTTTTTTTACTTCTATGTGTGATTCAAACTTTTATTGCAAAAATAGTGATTACTTTTTTTTTTTAAATAAAAGGAAACCAATATTTCAAGATCACTTTATAATATTACTTTTTAAAACTATATATGTCCCAAATGAGTTTACTTTAATTGGTCTGAAAACTGTACTTAAATCCATTAAATGGAAAAAAAAATCAAAAAAATATTTCAGCATGTCAAGTTAGCATAGCAAATAACTGCTAGATAATCTTAGTATTAGCAGTTGTATCAGTTGTTCTCGTATGCTGTACTTTCCCTGTTATTGCATTGTAACAGAACACAACTCGGCTGTTATGGAAAGGAAGGCATAAGGACTTATTCACAAATATACCTGTATATGTTATGGCCAAAACCAGAAATCTGCCAATTCTGGACTGGGCATCGAAATTGAGAAATGACCAATGTTGCTGTAAATTGATGGGCCATAGTCCTATATTTTCCTGTTTTTGCAATCATTTTTCAAATGGGCATGAGACGATAGGCCAGGTTCTTAGTGATTTTTCTTTCGTGCTCACTGATTTGAATGTGAGCTGTTCTCATGAAGAAATGAAAATTGACTTCTGGAATACGTATTGGTGGAGAACACCATGTTCTGTTCCAAGCTCGTAGAAAGTGTCCTTGCTGTTCATGACAACTGCTAGACAGTCTTGCATCAGCACATCAGGTTTTGTGGCCAGGGATTTGTAGCATACAGACTTATCATTTTAAGTACATCAGAGCTTGGCGACACCTTCCAGCCAAAGAGTGAAATTGCTGACCGATTCGGGAACTGGCTTTAGCATATACATATTTATAAATGTAAATTGAACCAATAAGGGTCATGAAGGTTGACCACTAACCTGTAGCATCAAACACAATATCAAATACTGGGGGAAAAGCTAGATTTTGACACAAATTACGAAGTAAGTGAGTTGGCATCTGAAATTTAATACAGATTTTTCTCCCGTTTTTAGTTGATGGTCTGGTTTTAAGCCCTCTTATAGTAAAGTGCCACGATGGTAAAATTTGAACAAGGACAAGCAGCCTTGACTTGGTGTATGGCCTAGATTGACTAATCACTGGTTCTTTGTCAAAATGAAGATGAGGACTCAACTCTGAAAGTCCTTCTTCATACCATGTGACTGATGATACTTCAAAGAATTAGAGAAATGGGAAAACATTTGTTTTTTTTTTTTTTAAAAAACTACTATTTTGACCCCCTGGGACTCTATGGGTTAATAACAATACTGCACAATTATACCATGGAGTAGTCACCACGCTGTGCTGGTAGCCCATGGGTTAATGACCATGTCGGTCTTTTATAATCTCCTATCACTGCTGTATGGGATGTGTAAGACAAAAACCATAACCTATTGTTTCTATGTGTTTTAATTAAAAAAATATCCTCAGTTTCAATTATGAAATGTTTATTGTTTATTGAATGCAACTTCATGTTTTTTTGGTCTCTGTTCACATGAATCATTATATGACTTAAGAGAATGGTAAACTTGAAATGTTTATCTCCCATTTACTTGTCCCTGTGTTTAGAGTGAGCTCCCTGTAAATATGTCTCAAATTAAAATAAAGTACATCTTTTGGATCACATGACACTAAAGCCTCCTACTTTTAAAGCAAAGAAAAAAATATTAATTTGTCCCATTGTTTTTGTAGGGGTTGCCGGTACAATTATTAAAATAATGTGCTTACAAAGATTTGCCAACAATATGTGTTATTACCGGTACGGTACTAATATAACTTCTGTAAACCACAGTTACAGTGACAGAGGTTTAAAAGCTTTTAATTGAAGCTCTTGATAGATGCAAAATTTCATTGAAATTAGTAATGGATCTTTTTTTTCATACCAGGTAATGAGAATTTGGTAGTCAGTTTATACTAAATAGGGCTAAGCAATAAATCGGTCTAAAAGTAGTACTTTTGAAAAAGTTGACTGAAACTTAAATGTTGGTATATGAAGACCTTTCAAGTTTATTTTGAAAAAAAAAAAACCCAACAGAATTGTTTGATTGAAAATTGCAATGATAATGTGAATGGAAAAAAAAAAAAAATTAATAGTTTAAAAAGAATAAATTTTTTTTTTTTATAAATAGGGATAAGCAATAAATCGGTCTAAAAGTAGTAATTTTGAAAAAGTTGACTTAAACTTAAATGTTGGTATATGAAGACCTTTCAAGTTTATTTTGAAAAAAAAAAAACCCAACAGAATTGTTTGATTGAAAATTGCAATGATAATGTGAATGGAAAAAAAAAAAAAGTTCATAGGCTGAAAAGTATTAATTTGTGTTGTTTCTATGGAGTAAGCATTGGGTGAATCAGTTATTATGCATCTTTGCTTAAGATGTAAGGCCTGCTTTACTTGTTCATAATAGGATTTTAAAAAAATAACGATCATTATGCTATAAGCCTAATGCTGCTCTGATCAACAAATGTAGACGTTGTAAATAAGTTACGCCCCTCAGTCCACTGGTAGGGCAAAATGATGCAACAAAAAAGATGACCACTGCGCAATTTGATTCATGCCTTTCTATTTTGAACAAATAATTTATATTAAATATTTAAAAAAAAATAAAAAAAATTACCATGTCACAATCTGAAAATGAAAGTATACACAAGACCCGTACATTTTGTTCAGTTAATAACTCTATAGTATTTGAGGCAATCATTGATTTGTCACTAAATTGAACAAGTCAACTGAATTTTTATGGTTTTTATTTATTCAGAGCAAGCTCAAGTTCATTTATGTCCCCTTGCTTTGCCGTGCAAGGCTTTTGACTGACACGTCTTGATCGATTGTATCCCCATCTTCTCATCCCTATCGGATCGGTAATGTCATCATTAAAGCTGGAGATTTAACACCCCCCCCCCCCCTTTTTTTTTTTTTTTCCTTGTTTT